GTGCGCGTCTGCACTGTTGTATCCTAATAGCTGCTACCTCCATTCCTCTAAATTTGCCACCGTGACCGATGTCGTGTGCGTCTGCACTGTTGTCTGCTCATTGCCCGGGGTCGGCGGCAGGGGGCGGAGCCCTTACAATAATATCAATTTGATCATTTTAGCCACTCTAAACTAAGACCATGAGTTTGTTGTATAGAAAGCACTCCATAGGTCACCTGCTCCCACAACCTACTGCCTACCACCGCCTGCCCATCAAGAGCATCCCTGGCCAGGTCTGCCAACCACGCGGTAGTCATTCATGTCCAAGGTGAAGATCCTGCGAAGCACGAAGCGGCGAAGTGATCAACTCACACCACTTGACCTCACCGAAGATTGTAACCCGCAACCCAATCGATGCGAATGACCCACCTCCCAAGCTATGCTAGTTGCTCAGTTGGAAAGCCCTGAGTATTAAAAAAGTCAAAGCCCAGTGGTCCATTCTTAGGTCACGTTCGACAAGAGCGAAGGCAAAATGGCAACTGCGTCATGGTGTACGCGGAGTGGCTCGCAAGAGGCAAAGCTGAGAGCTTTGCCCCTCAGCATGCTCGCTTCCCTCCGACACTTCAGCCAAAGCGTGGTCCTCCAGGCAGTGCGCTGGCTTGCTAAGTAGTCCTGCAGCATGAGCGTGAGGAGACAAACACCATGTCGATCTGCAGACCAGCAAGTGTGCCCAACCGGTTTAATGGGTTCCTGCTTGAGACAATAAGAGAGATATTTTCCATGATATAGGATCCGTTAGGTATCTCCTGTTCTTGCCAGCCTGCTGCAGAAGGGGACTTGGATCACTTCGTTGTGAGTTCCCTTCGTTCTTCATGACCAACACACATGCTGGTCATCAGTCATGATATCGGAATCGCATGTCCTCTGCATTCGAGACCCAGAGTCCAAAGGCATAGTAGCTATTGGACCTTGAAGGCTGCGCAAAGGAGGCTAGTAGCCCCTTACTCCTAGTAGTAAGGCCAGGAGCCCCTAGTCCCTTTGATCATCCATAATTTATGTATTGTTTTCTGATAGCTCCTTGTTACTATTAGCAATGCCCGTTGTTCCTTGTAGCGTCCTTGCTCCTAGTAGCGATGCCAGGAGCCCCTAGTAGCGTCCTTATTTCATTGGTCGTGGATGTTCGATATAATTGATTGTCGTTGCACCATGCACCCTGAGGCTTCCGCAAGATCGCACCCATCATCTTGATGGCCGCGTGGTTGTACGGGTGTGTTCGGTGTTCACAAGAGACCAGACCTACCCAAGTGCAGCGGAACAGCAGCTCGGGGGATACATCGGTTCGTGCCTGGAAGACGACGAGTTGGAGAGCCCATTTGTCCAGGCGTGGAATAGTATGAATCCTCTCTTGTGCGGGCTTTGGCTTGTCATGGCTGTTCTGCATGAACACTACTACGTGGTGTTTTTCATGTGTTCTTTCTCTGCAAGGTCACTGGACAATAACTGGCATGTGCGTCAACTCGGCGTGGTTTCGCGGTGTCACACCTAGCAAGGAGGTCTGTCTAACCTCTCTAAACTCGATTGGCGGATGTTGATGGAAATATAACGACAAACCCACTGAGTGACACCCCACGCCGAAACCCCTTCCAATTCGTTGGTTTGGCCAAAATCTCCCAATCTCTGTCCTCGAGATCCGTGACTTGGCATGGATTTGGGCTGAAGGAAAAGCCCTCCGGAGCCTCCGCCGATCCACGAACAGGTACAGCAGCTGTGGGGACACCGTAACGAGTCACAAAGTGAAGCTGATGAAACCTCATTGAATCAACAATGTATGCTGTATGGTAAATGTCTGTGGGTGAAGCCCTCACATCTCAATTCAGAACAATGATCAGTGGTCGTAGTGTCTTCTTGGACGACCTGTGTCTAGGTGACGCAATCCAAAAATATTTTCTGCTGGCTAATTTGGCACAATTCGAAGGGGTGCTGGCCATATCGTGCCGTCCCTGTCAGACAAAGCACTTTGATGGGCGGGGAGTCACGCGGCAATTCAGTTGGTCGACATCAGAGGCGTCCTATCAGGCTCTGGTGTACTTTGTGCATAGTAACTCCTGGCATTACTACTAGTAGCAAGAAGCTACTAGTAACAAAGGGCATCGCTACTAGCAAGAAGAAGCTATATACTTGTCAGCTGTGCTTAACAGCGCCTCCACATGCACAGAGGCTTCGACGCCAGTCCCCTGAGTTCGGACAAAGAGACTTGAAGGAATGCAATTCAGGACTCTAAGGGTTCGATCAAACAATGCGATGGCAGCATTATCTTTAGCAGACTGCAGACTTTATCAGTAGAACTTCATCAATGCTGCGAGGATTGCCGAAGGTGGTCATGGAACTGCTGGATTTACGTATAGTCCAAAAGGTGAGCATCTTTGTATTGTTTTGCAAAACATCGAAGCACGAGCATGCTGTACTTGACATACGGTCTAATGAAGCCTTACTGGTACACTGAGCAAGCCCAAAGAACCACCAGCCACGTACCACGAGGCCTGCTCAGAACGGAAGAAGATGTTGAGATAGCCTTGCGACATCACCACACCACCTTCCTTAGTAGCGGCACTCTTTGAGTCAGTGTTGCTCTAGCCTCTAGCCATAAGGTCTTTCGCCCCTATATATATAGTAACATTTGAGCACCTAAGGCAAGCAGTTACCTAGCCAGAAAGCCAAACAAGGACCTAACAGACCCTGTTGTTTCCAAAGTACCTGGCTGTCTGAATGGCAATGACAAACTGGAAAATGAGTCTGCAATGCGCTGGCTTGATTCTTGATACACATCAAATTGATACACAGGAAACAAAACTGGCTTGAACAATTTCGGTGTGTGATAGTGAGGAGCCCACAGAGTACATGTAATTTGATGGCACGATCAAGGCATCCTGGATCTTTCCCATCACAGCCTCAGCCAGCTAGTTCCATCCTTTTCAGGACAGCCGTCCCCAAGTTTCATGTCTGCGTGTTGAACTAACTACATTCCGAAGGGACAAGGTGACAAGGTTCTCAGAGGAAAAATTGGCGATTGCCTCCTTCAAAGCTGCGACAATCCTCTCCAGACCGATTGAGCCCCAGACAGTGTTGGAGCTGAAGTTCTGCACGATCGTGTTGAATATTACCTGAGCCGGAAACTGCACTGAACAGTTTGGGAGAGGAAATCAGCGCAGCCAAAGGTTGGTGTTCCGGCATCAAAGTCCCACCTACTTGGTGACTCTGCTCCGAAACATCGCCAAGGTCACAGGAGGAAAGGTGACAAAGTACTGGTGATAGCCTTTGCTTGTCATCGTGACCTTCGGAAGGGCGAGTGGAGGTGAGCAGAAGCCTCCGAATCCGCACCACTGCACAGTGTGAGTTCGTTTCTCCCCAACAATTGTTTCTAATAGCACACATTGTTCCTAGTAGTACGGCCAGGAGCCCCTAGTAGCATCCTTGTTACTAGTAGCGATGCCAGGAGCCCCTAGTGACCGTCTTTTGCTTGTAGTTAAGGAGCCATCAGGTTTGGCCAACATCACCCTACCCTCACCTGCCAGCGGTTGTTGGCATCCGTGCGCTTCAACGCATCCTCGGGGTTATTGGCCGTTACCTGCACACAGGGAGCATTGTGGGGAAGGCGGCAGCTGACGTTGACATGATTACTGAAGATCAATCCAAACTATATTGTCCCGAAGCAATAAAAGTTTTAAGTCATCCACATTCCCCAAAGACCAACTCAAGCTTAACCTTTGAACTGGGGCCGCAGCCCTGATGTACAAAGAGCTGCCAGCATAGACCACAGCATTCTGGCGAAGGGTAAAGACCTCAGCATGAACTGCGTGGAGGTTCTCCAGATTCTCTCGCTTCTTTCAGAAAAGCTGATCAAACATTTAGCAAGTTCCAACCGAACAAGTCCTGTTGTGCAGTAATAGAGATATACGGCTTTGTCGCTTGAAGGTGAGTCATTCATTCGGGATTATAAGAAGAGCTTCCCAACTGAGCCTTCTCAAAGAAGTCAACCACGGAGTCCAAGAAAAATCACCAGGATGAGGAAACCAGGTTGGAGGCCATTGCTATTAGGTTGGAGGAACTCAAGAATAGTAACTGATAACCATCCTGCATCAGACATCACCGACCCACACATCTTCTCCAGCTCGGTCTGGGCCAGAACTCGGGCTCCCAACGCACGTGTTCTCCGACACTGACCAGCCCCTGAAGGGTCAGAGTGTCTCGACCCAAAAATGTTGGACTCTTCCACTGAAACCCTGTGTTCAACACTGTGTTCACTGCACCAAATGCAACTGTCTGTAAATAAATTTAGAAGTTCACCACTTGACCCCACGAGCATGGAACTCGACTTATGCCCTGGGCGTTGGTCACTGCTGGCACTTGTCCATGATGTACAATATGGTGTTTTGGTTTAATTTAAGAAGGGAGGAACTCCTGCTGCTTGTTCTTTACTCTGAGTCTTAGGATCTTCAATGTGAACCAAACAGTTCTCCGTCAATCTCTAGGATGCTCCTTGCAATATCGTTCAATCGGCAATGTTCAGCCCCTAATTCCACAGCAAAAAGGTCGGCTCAGAAAGATGCAATTTTCCTCAATGCTGCAAACTTTTGAACCAAGAAGATCAAACACCAGCCCGGCCCCGCCCATCCTGCTCGCGCCTGGTCCCGCCACCCTCATCCAGTGATCCCGTGCCCTGCGGAATCTCATCCATGAAGACGCCCAAAGTGTCCTGCAGGGAGTGGAATAATAAACCAAACGTGTGAGGAGCCGATACTTAGTGTGTCCATGAACCCCATGACCACATATCGACTTCTGATCAATCAGCATGATGATTGAATATCTTTCTGGAATGACAAATTTTGAGAAGACGAGGTGCTAGAACATAACCAACCAAGAGGACTTCACGTTTTGACCCCGAGTGGAGATAAGTTCCAAGCGGCCAAACATGTTGGGCGAAAACACCCATCTTGCAGTGTGGGACGAAAGCAACCTTATGCGGAATCTAGATATGTACTAGACACTTGCTGCGGTGTTGGAAGTTTCATAAACCTTATCACGTAGAGAGTCTTCTTGCCTCTGAGCTTGTGGTACTCCTGCTGTCATCTCCTGTCTGTGCCTTGCTGCATCCAAATTTGCAAGTTGTTTAACATTGAACACTGCAAATTTGTGGTTCTGGGACGGGGCACCAAAATCACACGCTGCCCCTTAGCCCGCTTTCCTCTGCTCTCCATGGCGACTCGCCGTTGATGTCTGGCGTTCGCACCTGAGAGGTTTGGGAACTTGGTCAACGACCTCCCACAAAACAAGTGACGTCAAGCTCTTGTACACCATGCATAAACAAAGCTTCCTAATATATATATATATATAGTTATATGTATATATGATGCTTCGTTCCAAAGTCTTGGAAGTCTGAGTGTTGTACGCATTCGTAGCCGATCGGAAGGGTCAGAATAAGCTGGGCCTGTCCAAACAAGTGTTATATACAAATTGCAAACACAGTTTGCAGCATCCTTTACTGCTAGTTCTTGCCCTGGATTCTACGTCCAACCGTGCACTCAAGCACTCAGAAAGGGAAAATGGCTTTGGGGTGCTTTGGTAAACTATGGCCCAAGAACTTTCACGCTGAGCAGCATCTGCGGTTTGGACAGCTGCAAAGAGCGTCGCTGGCAGCACAATGCTGGCGTACAGCACGTTCTGTTTGTCCTGCCCAACTGTGTGCCACCTGAACCATCGCTATGCTAGAGCCCTCAACACTGCTTCCAATAGCAATAAACGAGAATGGCCCTTCTTTCCACCCCTTCAATCCGACAATCACCCACAGTCCCCGCGGTAGGGTCGCTGGTCACCATCCCCATAGAATTCCACCAGCTTGCCCACACCAACCTGAGTGCCAACCTACGCGATGTTTGATGTGCAGCACAGCATGGAAAAATGGAAAAGCAGCGCCAAGGTATATAATGCGCGAAGCTTCGTTTCTAAGAGAGCCGAGTGCACGGGGCTCCGGTAAGCAAACATCTGATCCACGTATTTCCATGTTTGCTTGCAAAACATAAAGCACAACACCAAGTGTCATCAAGAGTTCAGCTTTTTCTCTCAACGCGAAAGGCTGGCTTTCTTGGCACTGCGGTTGTGTTTTACGTTTTGATCAGGAAGTCCTTTCATCTGGTCGCCAATGATAAGGCAGTGGCACCCTGGTTCGGCATCTTGTAGATGTAGTCTCCAGAAGATTCCGTGTAGTGCGGCTTCGTGTCATCAGGCTGGCCAGCGGTTGGCGCTACGAAGCACTTCTGCAACCCACCCCGTCTGCAACCCACCCCGTCTCCTGATTGAATCTTAGGCCAAAACTTACACGAGACTGCGAGTGGCTGGTGGATGTCCAAACTTCTTTGCAGGACATGGTAGGGTGTCAATTGGACAGCCAATCTGATTATATAACAGTTTGTGGCACAAAACTTCAATGAAGGGGCAGTTGTAGAACCCGGAGCACACCACCTATTTGGCGCTACGTATCTTGCAAAGTTTCCAAAAAGTAGGGTCATTGTAGGTTGGAGGCCATCGCTCTTAGGTTGGAAATTGCTAGGATGGAGCTCCGGTCCCCGGTGGAGTCGTGCCAAACCCGGCTCCGCCTTGGAGATCTGTGCTGCTAGGCGTGTGGAGAAAAAGCCTGGGCATTGCTTCGACTGTGAAAAGAGTTAAGCCTGAGCAAAAGGTTTTGATTTCATTGATTGTATTTGCACATGTTCTGGAGGGAACTCCAACCAATTTCATCAAAGTCTGTGGAATGTGCCTTTCATAGAGGTCGTTGCTCAACAACACTTAGCATCACTCCAAAAGGGGCGACGGCGGAGGAAGAACGGCAACAAGTTCGCTCGGCCCACACGATGTCTGCCATGCTAGATATCTTGGTGTATATCAGTGTACATCTAACTAAAATCGTACCAGTTTCTTCCGCAGAAAAAGTACTGAGCAACAATCAAAAGATTGCAGTTCAATCTTCTTGCTGTCGAGAGCACTTGCAGCAGCTTCTGGTTGGAAAACTAGCTTGCTTGCTGGTAGCAGGACCCTTCCCTCTTATGTCGGACTGATTGCAAACCCTATAATATCCACGCATGCAAAAAAAAATCAATCGGACACTTAGCTTAGCTGGCAGGTAGTTACGAACAAGGAGGATTTGGCCCCCCCTTCCTCATTGTTGGTCCATTTCGATTGAAAATGGTCTCCGTTTACATTTCTGATCCTTTGTAGCTCGATTCTCTCCGATCCCAGGACTGTGACATCATGGACTACCCGACCTCACATCAGCGGCTCTTTTTGGGGGCCTTATCTCGTTCACAAGCGTGAATCCTCATGTTGGACAAACAAAAAGTGTATATGGACTACTTTGGGAAGCGCAAAAGAAGGTGGTTCCTCAGTTGCTCACATCTATTCCCTATTGCCCTATTGCACCTCCGTCTTATGTCAAGTCACCCCCCTGCGGCAGCACCAGGTCGGGGAAGACTAAGGTGTGGCTCACAAACTGCGGTGTCACGAAGCACGGAGCAGAAGGGGGGAAATCGTCTCCAGGTGAGTGCTTCTCCAGTGTTGTTTCCTCTGCGCATCCAAAAGAGCGACGACTTTGTGGCCCGTACTCGGCCAATATTCATGCCCGGCCCAAACAAACAGAGAACTCTGTTCACCAAACAAAAATAGAATTCTGAGAGGTAGCCTGCCGATGCTAATATACACTGGCCATGGCAGAAAGCCCTTCCAGCACTTTACGTGAGGCAAAAATTTGCACAACCTGTGCTGGACAAGTGCTGTTGTGGGTGATCTGCTAAGTTAAGTTTCCCTAAAAATCTAGGAACCAAATCATTACTGTAGTGCGAGCGCTTCTTCAAGAAAGCTCCCCCCGCCGCCTTTAGGGCGGTATCCTGATCTATCCTGCGTCCTGCCTAGACTAGGGCCTAGGGCCTAGACGCGAACTTGTAGCTAGTAGCTTAAATAGGCGCCTACTTAATTGAGTAGGGAGGGGGGTGGAGCGGGCAAAAAAGAGGTCCCCAAGAAGAAGCGGTGATGATAGTAAACTCCTGGGTCCACGCCTCGGTGATGGTAGCCATGGCTGATGGAAGCACAATGCGGAGATAGTTCTGGTGGAAGTTGGGGATGATGGCCTCGGAAGCACCGTGCAGAATTCCCAGTCACCTCATCAATGAGTTTCTGTTCAGGTTGAGATGACAGGTAGATGGGCAGAGATTGTGAAAGGCGTCCGTGCGTTTTGTTTTGTTGCACAGAACATCCTGTTGCTGATTCGTCTGGCAAGTAGACTCCGAAGGAGCCAATGCCACTAAGTGATCGACATCACCCTTGCAGTCTTGCACCGCACCGCAAGGCGCAGAAACCTGGAGAATGCTTGGCACAGAGTCTTGGCGCAAGTTCGTCCAATCTTGTCCAAGATCTGTGCTGTTTGATGCTGTTTGCGTACTTTACAGGTGCTGCAACGTCATCACAAACTCAGCTTCAGATGGTACGATAACAACCATAGATAGACGACTTGCGCCTTCTTGAGAAGAGATGTTTGAGTGCAACCAACCTCCTCAAGTTCCCCAAAAAGCATTCAGCTGCGAGGTGTCAACCTCCATCTACCAACCTAGAATCTGCAGGCCTGGTCATGTGGAATGCAGGCCACAGTGCAGGCATTGGCTACATTCCACTGCGTCAAAGGCCAAAGGAAGATCCGCAGGACAGCGGACCTCAAGGAAGGGAAGATCCAAGTTGATTTATGCCTGCTGGAGTTTTGTTCAAGAGACCAAAAAGCTTGGGATGAGTATACTAAACCTCGATTATCCACACAGCACGCAGCATCCCAAGACTATAGGATACAACAGTGCAAACTCATAGAGCAAAAGCTCTCCCATCTTCTGAAAGGACTGTTTGTCTGTTTGATGTTCCCTGCATCAAATCTGCTGAAAAAGGACAGCCGATGCATCCAGAAGATGTTCTTAACTGTTCTTTCTGGGATGTTCACCTGAAAAGCTGTCGATTGCACGACGAAACTCGGTCAGACCGTGGTCTACTCCAGTCGACCAAATGCTCTGAGCCCCAAGACGCTGAGATGCCTCCGCCCAAGGGATCACCCTTCAATGCCAAATGAAGCTCCTTGGAACGTACAACGACTCCAAAGCACCAGGTGCGTTGCAGTTGCCACCGGACATCGATGGAATATGCTAGGCCCGCATGACATAGGGAGCGGTGCTTGCCTTTTGGGCCTTTTGGGCCTTTATGGTGCAGTCTTTGTGCTGGTGTTGTTTCCTCGGCCTCGGGCTGTTGCAGGTTCCTCTGCGTTGGTGGCTTGTAGGTTGCAAGATGTTACAAATTGCCGTGTAAGCATAGGTTTGTTCAGTGGTTGCTGCGCTTCAAGCGATGCTCATGATTCTCGCATCCACTTCTTTATTGTTTCAATCAGCGCATTGGTCAAGCCGCCAGAAAGCAATGGACGAAGACGTTCGCGTTCATCACTATGGACTAATGGTGGATGCAATACAGTTTTTTGTCAAAGCAAGTAGTCAAAAAGCAAGACAGCAGTTCACAGATTGCACAGCCCTACAAATGGTCTGTAGTGTATGCTAAACCGGAACCACCACTAAAGCTGCAAGATGAGCCCCACATCTGAGCTTCGTGCAACACCACCTTTCAGCTCTAGCATCCTCAGGCAGCTTGGTTGAATACGACGACCACGCCTTTCCACAACTGTTGAAGTAACCGCGGCCTGAATAAAATCTCGAAGGTCGCATATTGTTAATGGTAACATCGAATTCTAGAGAAAGACATGTCAAAAGACACCAAATCGAAGGAATGCATACCGGTAGCATTTTATCCCGACTCTCATCAAACACCCAAAATCACAAGGACCATTTATCGAGCATCGGGGCGACAGCCCACTCTACAATCTCTACGCAGGAACAAATCGTGTGCAGGATGGTGTAGCCATTTCTTGCAGGACTACCGATGTGCAACGCTTTTAGGTTGGAGGCCATCGCTAGTAGGTTGGAGCCCATTGCTAGTAGGGTGGAGGCCATCGCTACTAGAAACAAAAAGAAGAAGAGGAGGCCATCGCCCAATCACATTGACTTCCCATCTGAGGATCTCTGTGCCATCGCCGCTGGAGATCTTCACCCCTTCGGTCTCTGCGAACTTCACCCCCTGGGAGCCGTAGGCGGCGTCCTGCGAGCACAACAGAGAGCGCGAGCGGAACGCCGAACGCTTCTTATTAGCGATGCCAGGAGACCCTAGTAGCGTCCTTGCTCCTAGTAGCAGCGCAGCTTAGGAGGTTACTGCGATGCATCTTGAAGATTGGACTGATTGGACCAGTACCTTCCAGCTCAGGGCTCAGGCGTCACCCCTCCTGTGGGGATCGATACAAAGGTGCAATCCCTCTTTCCAGAGCCAGGTAAGGATGGAGGTCCACATCCTCAGCACCATCAGCACTGGCTCGTGATATGGTGTGGGTTTGTAACCTTGTAATAACGCTGTTCCTTGTTTTCAGACCAAAACAGCAGCCAAGTAGGCTGGTGGCTGGCGGCTCGAGCGGGTCATGATTCCACATCTGAGGTCTTCACGTCCGTGGTGAAAATGTGAACATACTCGCCATTGCGAACAGCCTTCAGCGATCACGTGGTCCAAACACGAGATAAGTAACAAATTTGTGCAGGAATTCCGCAGGAGCATGTGTGTCTGAGTATCTACCACTCAACAAAGTTGGAAAGCTCTGTTCCGCTATTTCTGCAAAGGTCGAATTGATTAGAAACCAACTAGCATTAGCTCCTCAGCTGCCTTCGATCAAGTCCACAAACCAAAAAGCCTTTTCAACTTGTTTAGGAGCAACAGATCTCACCCGGCCCCATGCCCAAGGGGCCTCGTCCATAGCAACTCCGCTCAGCACCAACTGACGATGCAGTGCTGTGGAAAAGTAGAAAGGTATGTCATCATCACAAGGTGGAGAGTGTCCATCTGAAAGCCAAACTGCAACATTGTACAAGCGAACCTTGTCAATTCTAGTCTTTGCTCATGTTGCCGTGTATGTCATCTAGGCGAAACTATGCTGAGAAACATACAACACGTCTCGCGACCAGGTTTACCAAAATTACACCCGCATAGACCCCAGATAGCCATAGGCAGAATCCAGCAAAAACATCAAGCTCTGTTGACTGTTGACATGCGGCTGGCTGGAACTACAATGTACATGCAGCCATCCTCCACACAGTGGGCACAGCCAGCTCACAGCACCGGCACCAGCACCAACACCCTGTCTCCAAAGCGCACAGCCAGCTCAGTCCTAGTTGAAGTAAGGCCCAGCTATCGCTCTCTGGGAAATATCTAGGAAGGAACCAAATCATTGAGGCTCAGGCTCAGCTACTTCTACTACTTGCCGCTTACTACCAGCTACTTAATGAAAAAGAACACGACGGCCTAAAAAATCTTAGGGTGAGAACGCCGAGCCCGTCCACAGCTTGGACAGAGTGGCCATAGGAAACAGCACGCTGCCACCCACAAGTCACTGGAATGGTACTACCCGAGTCCGCGCCTGGTAAAACTTCCCGGGTGCCAAGCCGTTTTTTCGACCAAACAGAATGTTGAGCTCCTTGCAGCTAGTGCGCAAAAAGTGTGTCCACCAAACTCGTTGGTACTATACAGTTGTACTAGAGGAACAACAACTACCTGCTGATTGGACCAACTCCTAATCTGCAAATGCACTCTCAAATATTTATATAATGCCCTTTGCAGCCGGTGTCCTGTGTCTGCCCATAGGTTCGATAGTAGCAGCCTGCATCCCAAACGCTGCTGGAAGACAGTTTGGAAGTGAAAACAAAAGCCCAAGGCCCAAGATTGCTCTGAGGTTGGAGGCCATTGCTCTTAGGTTGAAGGCTCACGGCCACCTCGGGGCATCGGGAAGCCATTGATCTCGTCGGAGGACCAGACCTCTCTGAAGAGCTTCCCGCAAATGTACCTTTGTGCAGGCTGACCCAAAGCCCAGCCTACCAAGCACACCGGTTTCCAAAGAATGCACCTATCAAGGTAACGCCGTTCCTGGAGAACATCTTGACATCGGTGCGGCTGGGCGCACTGCCTTGCCTCGTTCAACTCGTCTTCTCCCTGGCAAATATCGAATTCCAGAACAGCAAATGGCAAAAGGAATCTGAAGGAAATTGAATCTAGGAGCAAGGACGCTACCAGGGGCTCCTGGCATCGCTACTAGGAACAAGAACGCTACTAGTAGCATCGATTTCTTGGACCTTCCCAGCTTTGGTGGTGACCAAACGTGCAACCACGCCTGTGGGACCTACGGGAGGACAAGTATGCATGGTCAAAGCCTTCGTCGCACGTCAGTGAACCAAAACACCCCCACCTGATTTTCTTCGATTGCTGCCCCATCAGTGAAAGTGGCCTTCAAAGCCACCGTCCTGCAAGACAGGCCACTGTCCCTTCAAGTTCTGGGAGACTCTACCCACTAATTCAATTGGTTCTGCACTACTAATTTGGTTTTCAACCTACCTATAGACTGATCCCACAAAGCCCAGGGCTTGCCCACCGCTGAATTGTATCTATAGAGTCGTAGAGAAAACTAACAGCCACCACGAATGCTGTCCCATGTCAGACTTGCACACTCTTCTAGGTCCCAGACTTTGTCCAGCCAATGAGTCTTTCCGAAAGGAGAGACAGAGAGACGTGAGGATGGAGGTAACTCAACAGACTGCCCTTGCTCTGAGCCCTTGCTCGAGACCTCAATCAACGAAAAGCTTGGGCAGGTCCTGCACCCAACCCCCATTGTGTATGCGGTCCTCACAAAGTAGATCCTCAAGCGCATCCGGCCCTTGGTCAAGAGACACACTACAAGCCAGGTTCGGTCAAGCAAGAATCAATCCTTGACCTATTGGGCGAGACTGGATCCACAGCAAAACCCGCCACTCTTTTGTCTCCTCAGTGCCATTTCTTGATTTAGTGAAGGCCTCTGCAACTGACAAATGCTTTGGTACCTGATACCTAAGCCGTAACTTTTGGATAAAGACCATCAGGCTAACCACACACTCTCCCATCACCCACCCCAGCCTGAAGTGAACTGTAGCGCTTACCGGTCTCTGCAGTAGCAGTCCTGGCCACTATTGTAGGTTGTCACTCTGAGTTCTTTTTGTGTATAGCAAATGCTAAACTTATGTCCGTTTCTTTGCATTTCAATGTGTCTTAATGTCGCTGTCACCGGCGATACGAACCCCCAATTTTGCACAAGAAGGGATTGTTAAAGTCTCCAAGCAGCCCTGATTCAAAAAAAGCTGCAAAATAATCAGCACAAAAAAAATATTCACCTGAAGGAGATGATCATGGGAGCGTAGGGTGTTTGCTGATTCTTCACCAAAGAGGTCAGACCTCGGAGTCACATGGGCCATGCAAGGAACAAATTCAGAACATCACCTGGGGTTTTGCAATAAGGCCACAATCGCAGATAAAGAAAACAAACGCATCCAGAGTGTAATTTCAGCTGCTTACCAAGCATTGCGAACAACAACAGAACAACACCGGCATGTCCTTTCAATTTCTCCAGCCAGATCTATTACCACTGTGCTCCCAGCTCACCAAGCAATCGCTCATGGAGTTGGGATCCAGAAGTGTCAAAGTACCCACCTGGCACAAACAAGTTTAATATACATAAATGGTCGTGGGCAGATAAAATGATGAATTGGCGTCGATCAAAGACTAAAACAATGTAAAGGCCCTGAAATAGAGTTAGTGGAGGGGCCCTTACCTTCATGTTTCATTTATTTCTTCTAATCACTTGATGACCAAGCCACGCGAGATTCCCAGGCCCAAGTTCCCCCTTTGCCTGGGCAACATGGCGTGGCATAGGGCCAGATGCACCCATGGCAGGGGTGTATTTCCAGCAAACCTTCATGTTGATCCTGGCAAATAAAAAGCTCTGACATGTGCAAGAACATCTAACACCAGTCTAAATTTTCGTGAAATGTACGTTCATCCTCGAAAACTTATGAAAAGCAGCACAATTTCAGATTTCAGGATGCCAAGCATGTCGTGTTCCACCGCTCTTTCTCACCCATGATCTCTTCCCTGCTGATGGCCTGCACAGCGCAGGCAACCAGTTGACATCTAGGGCGAAGGGTTCTACACTCTGGAATCTCTTTTTGGGAAATGGTAAACCAAAGCACAGGTCACCAGATTTACGAGTACCAAGCCTGGAAGTGACCCAACAGGCAGTTACGTGTCAAAACCCTATGGTTGGCCTCCCGACTTCATTCGTTTGGCAAACTCTAGCCGCTTAAGCCCGAATCCGTGTCAAACGGCCCAACACACATGACTCACGCTAAGCATGCAAGTTGCTTCCAAGCAGGAACCCCTCACAAGTCTGAGACCAAAATGATCTGCTTAAGTGACTCCAAGACACGGGGCAAATCTATTTCTGTTTCTGCACCATCCATCTGAGAGACAGCACAAACAGGCATCTTGAGCTAGAAGATTTGTTGGGACAGTGCGCAGGTGACAAGCGCAAGCGGCTCCAAGCCGATGTACTACGGTGTGAGAACTAGATTGCTTTCTTCGGAGACATAGCTTATCCACACCTGACAAACTAGCAACCCTGCACCCCTGTGTCCAGCTGGCTTTTGGCAGAAAGAATAATTCAAGTCGCTTCGCGACAATAACCGCCCGCACCAGCTGTTTTCAGAGACAGTGAGCACCAGACACACTTTATGATGCCGGATATGAAATTCCGTTCCCAAACAAAAAATGCAATCATCCGCCCAGACGGAGCTATAGAAGCCGCGTGAATGAAAACAACAGCACCTTCGGTGCTGGCGCATTTAGGGAGTGACGATGCTGTGGTGATCACATGTCCCCTGACCCAAGAAGTTGCTCAAGAGCGATACCACAGGGGTCATCATACGTTGTTGTCACATAAAACACATTTCATGCTGTCCTGAGCCGGAGGTTTGGGGAAAGGGAAGTCAATGATGGTGAATGGTGGCTTGAAGGCTTATTGCGTGCAAGTTCAAGAAAGCACTTGTCGCACAAGGCCAGCCTTGCTGTGTCTTTGCCATCGTCCTCGGCGATTTTCGAGGTACAACACCGAGAACCTTGGCGGCTGGAGCAGCAAAAACCTTCCATCCCTGCTGTGTGCCAGGCCAGCGGTTCTCGCAGCATTTGACCAAGTGGTGCAGTGGTGCAAGAATACACATGGAATCTACAAAAAAGAAATAAACCATTCCTGACTTGGCCAAGTCCCAGGGTGGGCCGAGTAACATGCACCCAAAAAGCTACCAACACAACACGAATCTTGTTGAGCAATGGAATTCACAGGTGCGTTTATATAAATGTTGCCAGAAATTGTTGCAAGGCACTGGTTTTGAGAGGAAAGCTTTCTGTATAACGAGGTATGGAACCCTGTTGGATGAACGGGTTTGGAAACAAGCAGAAAACGAGTAAACGAGACAAAATGGTGTGTGGGAGTACAGTACATCTTGTACTTTCTGTTGACCCTGTTATTTGATGATCGACCTCGCTCGAGCGCCTTTTTGCAACATGCTCAGCAGTTTGGAGGGCCTCGACCTCGCAGTGCTTTCATTTGGACCCATGACCCACCGTTTTGAGAGTCAGACCAAATCAAAAGGTCATACGAGTCCAGAAAGTCTAATCAGGTCGGGAAAATCTTCAAGATGTCTGCAGGTCCCGGCTGGATGGATACGGACAGCGTTCCAAAGGTCCCAGGCTCTTTCCTTGGACCTGGCGAAAACGAGCTGACCGACTGAGGACACCACCTGACTTTTCCAGCATATCCCAAGCGCTGCGGGTCGATCCATTGTCAAGCGCTCATTATCTACCGACAGCTCCACCAGGCTGCTCAAGGAGCATGAGCCCATGGCCTATTGGGGCCACTTAAAGAACCACTCAGGAGAGTGTAGAATCCTGCAAAAAGACCCCACCTTATTTATGGGGGTCCACCCATACCGTGCTTGGAAGCATCAGAAACCCGAAGAGATTGAAATTAATTGAAATTATCATTCAGCGGCATGCCTTGGCCCCTCGATCTGTCAGCAAATCCAGAATCTTCTCATAGGTCCTGGGCTGTTTTCGGATGCTTGAGATCGTCTTGTTACTTGTTTATAAAAGCAGCCTGTCCACTCAAGGCTCAACAATAATAGGGCGCAAGTGGTCATGAATCTGAATGAGTGAGTCCTCTTGCTAGTTGACCCTGCAAGAACACTACAAGAATCCTTTCCCCATCAAGCTCTATACATATATATATATAAGGAACCTGAAGCATAGAATTGTATAGACCTCCACTCAATTGAGAAAGCTGATGGTGCCCCCTAACCAATAGAGAAGAGTATGCTCAAAAAGCTCAAAGGATAAGAAAGGATAATGTTAACCTTTACGGTCAATCATTTGGAGGTGTCAGATTCTCGTGAGAACGATATTAAACAATTGAGCGTCCGAGACACCCTCCAAACAGATTTCATGATTACGCCACCCTGCTGTGGTAGCGGAGCTCAGAGACCCGAGCTGAAGTGGTCCAGGTCAACGTATGGTCGCTAGAGAAGGCAAGGCAACGGAAGGTGTTGGTGATCTGTCTGTCCAGGGAAGTTGTTTGTGTGGTTTGAGACTGTGTGTATGAGATATGACTGATGCGGTAGGTTCTGAGAGGGCGAGAGAGAGAGAGAGAGAGGTCACCTACGAGTAGGCAGAGAGCAAAGCATTTCACAATAGGGCCCCCAAGCGTCCAATAGTCAGACAGGAATGGAGGAAGGTAGAGGTGGAAAAGGTGCAAAAGGAAAACGAGCTTGCTTCGCAACCTTTCCACCCAAGCCAGCAAACACCACTTCTGCCACACCACCAAGCGTCGCGTAGCGCTCCCCAAGGTAACTTAGCCCTGCCAGAGCCCAGTCGTAGGGTGTGGCCAAGGCTTCGTCTGGCAAGGTCAGATCCGCGCCCAACGTCGCAAGGACTTCCACTACCTGCAAACAAAGAAGTCTTTTGGCAAAAAGCACTTCCAACATCCTGCACTTCGAAAGGGGATGTTGGGATTCAATTGGGGGCCTTTGTCTCTCAGCGAGGAAAAATAGAAAGAAAGGTCGTCTAAAACAAAAATGATTTGCACGGTAAAAAGAAAAGGAGGACCTTGAGAATTCTTGCTTCTAGGAGTTCCAAACCCTGATGATTCCTTCACCTCTGATCAACTGCTCCAGCCAACGACGCCTCAAGTTGTCCTTTCTGGCAAGCCAGGCTCAACGGAGTTCGCCATTGAACGTCTTGGGCGTTGATATCCTGTCAAGGCGATGCACCAAATGATTTTCTGTGCACTCCAAAACATACTGCTGTACAACACCGAGTCACAAAAACCGGTTTCATGGCCTTGAAGAGTCCAAATTTTATCCCATATTAAGAGCAGGACAAGGATGTTTCACCGCAATGGTCCAATTCAAGAACATGGGACTCTTGGGAAAAGGCCTCTGGAAGCACTCTCGCTTGGAAGGAACACAATAGACGACCCACACCACCAGTAATTTCAATGAGTTTATGATACTGTAGTGGCTTGATGTGTTCTGAATGTGGGCGTGTGTGTGTGTGTGTGTGTGTTTGTGTGTGTCAATTCCTGTGCCAAAGGAACATGACCACAGTGATTTTCGTTCTAATTCAAGCTTTGCACTCAATAGGCAGGGGGATGCCACACACGTGAAGAGAGGGCATCTAACAAGCAGGTTCTTCAGGTTGTGCTGATATCAGCAAGGACGCTTGCTGACGTACCTGCATTAAGTTAAAAGTTCTGGTTGTGATGTTCCCAAGCTGTCACCCTCATTCTCCCTGTAAAGTGCTAATGCGTCTTTGTTCAAACATTCCTTTCTGCTGATGAATCACCTTTCCATTCTGCAAGTCAAGGTCTAGCTCTCAGTAACGTAAAGTGCTAGCTTCACGTGGATGTCGCAACTGACAGAGCTCTTGCGAGCAATGATCTAAGCCACTGCGGTATGCTGTGTGACCCCATCGAGGGCGCGTTGAGCATAGACCTTTAAGGGGGCTTCCCACAGGAATCTCATTTCAGCTTGCTTCCCACTGACCACTCGTTCTTGCTTGAGATCGCTGATTGAATGCCGCAGGGCTCACTGACAACATCCACGCCGCTAAGCATTCATAGGATTCATGCCATGCAGCTAAGTATGCATTTGCTGTCTTGCTTTCCTTCTTTAGGGCTCTCTTCGTTTTCTAAACCTGTCTTCGCTTCTAAAGGCTTTGAATGTGTAATTCAAGCCTTTTAGTCAAAAGTGCGCCGGATTCGGCTTACTGGTCAAGTGCCGTCGGGCCCGAGCCTGTCAACCCCCCCGACACACACCCCTGCACCCCCTTTCTCTCCGTGCTTTCTTTCGTTTGCTTGGTCTTTTCTTCAGGCTTGTTACGTTGTCGCTTAGGCTCGTTTAGTCATTGCACACCCTTTTCCCCCCCCCGCTCTCTTTCTCGGCTTTTCTTCGTTCTAGAGGCTTTCTAGGTCCGTAACCAGGTTTTTCAGTCAAGTGTCCGCCACTTTCCCGCTTGAGCGCCAAATTCGGCGGCGTGTGTGTGTGTGTGTGTGTGTGTGTGTTTGTCAATTCCTGTGCCAAAGGAACATGACCACAGTGATTTTCGTTCTAATTCAAGCTTTGCACTCAATAGGCAGGGGGATGCCCCACACGTGAAGAGAGGGGATCTAACAAACAGGCTCTTCAGGTTGTGCTGATATCAGCAAGGACGCTTGCTGACGTACCTGCACTAATTTAAAAGTTCCGGTTGTGATGCTCCCAAGCTGTCACCCTCATTCTCCCTGTAAAGTGCTAATGCGTCTTTGTTCAAACATTATTTTCTGCTGATGAATCACCTTTCTGTTCTGCAAGTCAAGGTCTAGCTCTCAGTAACGTAAAGTGCTAGCTTCACGTGGATGTCGCAACTGACAGAGCTCTTGCGAGCAATGATCTACGCATATCCATAAGTGTGTGTGTGTGTGTCGGCGGGAGACTGTTGGCATTCTTGTATACTGAGTATATTATTGATCCCACTCCCCCTCGCGATGCACACACACAGGACTGGACCGTCAAGCATTCTCCACATCTGCAGCTCGAACTTGCCACCCAGGCACTGCTTGTTGTTCCAAGAGGAAGTCCACCACCTCTGCATGGCCCTCTTTGGCGGCCAAATGCAAAGGCTGGGACCTCAACCTGCAGGTGCCGTGGGTGCACTGGAGGTGATGAGTCCACAGTGAGCTCCCTGGCCTACCACTGGGCTGGTGGATATCTGCCTTCCTTTCCAGCAGCAGCTGCAGGACTCCTTTTGTCAGGTCTCACACTGAACGCATGCCACTTGCTCTGCTTCTTTGAAAACATCTGAAGACACGTATCCATTCCTTGAACTGCGAAGTCTGCTCGACTATGTCAAAACGCAAACTAAACCTGGAAGAATGCCTCCGCAAAGGGGCGGAGCAGAGTTTTTTTGGCTGCTCAACACAATTCTGCACGCATGCGGAGATGCCAAAAGCGTTGGTATTTACACTCTCTAAGGCCGCTCAACAGAGTATATAAAAGCATTTCTTTCTTCAAGCCCGGGGACCTCTTCCAAGCGAAACCGCTTTGTACAAGTTGAGGCCCAGGAGTCACCATCACCCATCAACACTCTCTTCTCACTCCGCCGCATTTGTGACCCTCCAATCACCTCCTGCCCCCGCCTGTGCCCATTCTCAATTCGTTCGCAACAACTCAGCTCAGCCTGGAAGGCTGGCTTTCGTAATTTTTACCCTGCCGGCACTTCGCGTCTCCTAAATGTCCCATAGATGAAGCTGTGTGGAGTGGCAGCCAGCCCCCAGCAGGTCCAGATTCATGCACACTGGCACCTGAAGGTCTGAGTGAAGAGTACAGACTCAATGTTAAGTGGTCCGCTTGAAAAGGTCTTGCAAGACTGTCCGAGCTTCAAGTTCCCCCTTAGTTGCCGATATCATGACGAGATCAGCTAGATCCTCAATTGCGCGCTTTGATTGAAACGGAGTGGATTTGCTTTTTTGCCAAGGCCACAAAAGCCTGGCCGCTGGACCCACCGAAACTCTTACTTTGTAACTGTTCCACCTGCATCCAAAGCGTCTGAGACCGCTTTCGAGACCCCACAGGCCACGGCCACGCGGAGGTCCTGGCGAAGGATTTGGAAGTTTGGAAGGTGGTTCTTTCTGCAAGATTTGAATATGCGATAGTCACGTGACAAATAGTCCTATTACCGTCCAAAAAGCATGTTCCGTCACGCTTTCTCAGTCTTCACCCGTCTGACTTGAGAAGCATCCAGATGTTCAGTCTATGTGCTCAGAAGCTTCCCCACCTCTTGTGCACCCATTCTTGCTGCTGCGTGGCTGCGCCGCTGCGCGCCACAAGAGCCAAGAGTCTAGTTCAGAAATCGGATTAACATGTGCTCCATAGATAGAACCTATTCATCCCGATTTGGCTCGGATTGTGATTCGTGCGCAGCCCGTGTACTGCTGAAGTGCTGCCAATCCCCAAGCCAAGCCCTCTCTTGAGCTGCAATGGCCAGTGGACACAGCAAGCAGGCCCCTGCGCACGTCAAACGGGTGCATCGGAAAAACCCAAAGAATGCTGAAAAAAAGGCCTGGATCGGAGACCTGGATTTGAGAGTCGGCCCATGTTTGTACAGACCCATACAACCTGGTACTTGTAGTGCATTCTCTGGGTGCTGGAACTGTGGCTTTGGATCTGGCCATCCCACACGAATGGTCACCTGCGGCAAGAATGTTTGGACCGGAAAAAACTCTCATGAACGGCACCCATTCAAGAAGTGCAGGCCTTCTGCGGGTCGGTTGGATTCACGGTCACTGCATGACCTAAGAAACGCAAATGGTAGAAGTACCTAAAGCCGTTTCCAAACCTATCACATCCACAATTGCTCACATTTACACTCAACCTAGCGTAAAGACTGAAAATCTACTACTCCAAAGTTCAACTCCTTGGAAGGAAACTTGTGGCAATGCGAAGTCGCTCAGCTCCCAGCCAGAGATATACTCATTTGGCGCAGAGTTGTGATTGTCCAAGCGATCGGCCAAATTGAAGCGCCCCTGCCCATCCGCTTGGTGCACAGAACTTGAATGGTCGGTCACAACTTGGTCTGGTGTATGTTTGATCCAAAGCTAAGGTAGCGCACCCGTAAAACAGAAAGTCGCTCTTCATTGCAGACCTGAGAAAAGGCAAGATGTTTTGATGGACGTTTTTCTTGTTGACCGGGACGTCAATTCCAGGTCTAAGAGTCCAGCAATGATTGACTGTCCCGGAGCACAAATGAAGTTCTCACCTCAGAAAGGGTCAAGGGTCGCTCCCGATATGTGTAACCCCCAAAGAGACCACGCGAGAGGGACCTACACCAAGCTGGACGGGATGATTTGAAGGAAAGTGGTCCCTCCTGTCTTGCTTATGCATATTTGGTCACCGCTCTCATGGCTTGATAGACCAAGTTTGCGAACGCATGCCAAAACACTTGAGTCTCGTTGATCTTCCTACGGAGAGATCATAAATCCTAGTCTTTCATGACAAACAAATGTGCGGCAGACTCTAGACTTGACCAAGTGGTGGAAAGTCCAAGATTGACCAAGGACAACAGGTGGGTGAAGACCTCAAAACTCAAGACTAATTTTGCAGCGGCTCGCCTCTGCCTGCCCGTGGCAATCTACTCCAAACCGTGACGCGGACATCAGACCTGAAGCTAAGGACCAAGCCCAAGGTGATGAGGTCACCATCGGCAAGAGATGACGAGGCCTGGCAAAACAGCTTCGCTCAGCTTCGCTGGTACTGGTACTTGGATTCATGGTTCATGACAGTTGAAGCCTTAAGCAGGAAATCGCCCCAGCCTCAAATTCCAACTCTGTGGTGTTCTCATCTAGGACCGTCACTGCCTCATCTCGTAACAAACAGGCAGAAACGTGGAATATTCTCCGACCAAAACCCAAGTCCTTGGTGCACTCAGCCAATTTTTTGCCGGAAAAAATCCGCATTACTTGCGTGAAGTTTGCAGCCAAAAGGTCAGAAACGAAGTGTGCACTATGCATTTCTATGCGCATCTGCCCATGCCTCCGTTCCTTCCCCGCTCCACCTTGATGTCGTTGGTTCGGCAGTCTGCATTCTGATTGTCGCACATATAGGTATCGGAAGAGAGCACCCCAACCTGCGCTGGCTGTGAAGCGCCTCGCCTCCTTCAAACGATATCGACCGTTTTCAGCCGATTGATTCTCCACATGCTGCTTGAGCAGATTGGAGTCTCATATCTGGTCATATTTGTATTTTGCCTCAGAATCTCGCTTTTGGACAGCGGGAACCCAGACTCCCCCCTCCCACCGAAATGTCGCCGTTGAGCACCGCATTGACCTCACCCACCTGCGAATTCAGCGCACAGGGCCGCCATGCGACATGGAACGTCGGAAAGTTGGAAACTTTCGTAACAACAGGTCATTTCAAGGAGGTGCCCGTTGTTAGGTGACCGGTGACCTAGACATGGGAGCAAAGTCACTGGTTGTGCGGCAGATTCGACTATATAGTACAAACGACAACAGTGGCGACCACAAGAAAAGTATACGTCGGGGAGTTGTCAGGAGCCAAATCTGAATCTTGACCAGCCGAACTACCAGCCAAGCCCAGCCTCCGAGCAAGGATGTGGACATCCCACTTTGATGTTGGTGACCTTGATCACACAAACCAGTTTCGGGAGATCGGAGGTATGACGTTGGAGGCTTGGACGGCACTTGAAAAGCAAGCTTCGACTAGGCCAAAGCTCAATTCGCTCACACCATCCAACCGCCCATTCCCACACTAGGCCCCGTGGCCCCCCAGGCTGCCCGTGGGTTTCCATTCACATCCGAGCACTCTGATGCAGCTGGGATGATACGGATCTGGTCATCCTGCCGGCGGGAACAAAACATTGCAAATCCTTCACAATCTCCAAGACCTCCCATGTTGGAGGCCATCGCTAGCTGGTTGGAGGCCATCTCTAGTAGGTTGCGCTAGTAGGTTGGAGGCCATCTCTAGTAGGTTGGAGGCCATCGCTAGTAAATAAGTTGGATGCCATTGAAAATCCTTCAGAATTTCCAAGACCTCCCATGGCAGGATCGATTGAAAGGTTGGATCCTGGATCCAACCTTGGAGGCTGATTTCACATCCGGATCTTCAGGGCCGCTAAACTCAAGGCTAAACTTCTCCAACGTTCCCGGATTTGAGGGATTCTTATGACAAGAACAAAACTGCTGAACAATGCTCCTTTGCTCGTGGCTCCCACCAACACCGCAGGTCTGCCTGCTACCATTTCGACAACAGCTTAGTGCCTTCGCCAAGCCCCAGCCAAAGTACTCAATTCGAAAGACGACCTGATCGCTCTCGCGAAGGCTCAATTTAGCAAGAGTTAGTATTGGTATAAAAGGTTTTGAAAAGGTTTGTCCAGTTTCTCCAAGAGACTCCACGCGTGCAGCTGCTCAAAACAAATCTACAGTAGATTGCGTTGCAGCATGGCATGAATTGTGTTGAATTGGCATAATCCAATGGTCAAAGACCCTGCAGTCTAGGCGCATTCGTCGAGACTGTCCAGCCTTGGGCAACACCACGACCATCTGATCACTGCAACATTCAACCGCAAGACTGCAACGCCGCACATCTATTTGAGGAATCGCCTATCCTTGCAGGTAAGGGGACATGACAATATTAGAAGCCTATAACTTTTACACTTATACAGGTGTGGGCAACTTGAAGTTACAGTGCGAACAGCATCAGAGAAAGTCTCTGGGCATCGTGGCTTTGTCCAGGCCCAGGTCCTCGAATGGTCATTCGATTCACCAAGACCTAAGTCTCCCAGGCTGCGCCATGTGTGCTGAATTTGTAGACATCTCAGTTTTGCTCAAAGGTCCACCTGTTTCGCGCTTCTAAGTCGTCGACCCATTGGTCATGTGCACAGACCTTGGGAATGCAGAAGCAAGACCGAAAAGGTCGTGCCCTCGGACATGAACGAGAGACCCAACTCAAGGAATGATGAAACAAACGGAAAAAAAACACCTGAAAATTTTGAAAAGAACATGTTGTCTATGTGCCTCACCTATTGCTTGTTTTGCAGCTTGCTTTTCATCTCTGTTCATCTACGACTCTCCGCTTCATTCGCATCTGCTCGAAACGGAGGCTCAGGCCCCTGGAGTGTCCAGTACCGGCCGCGCGCAGTAGCAGACGGAGATAAAGCCAGCCTCGCACCAAATTGGGAGACCATTCGGGGCAGCTAAAGGCAACCCCGTATGAGGTGGTTCTCAAATTCTTCATCAGCGAGTTCCACCGACCGTTTGCGAACATTAGCAAGTGCATCGCTACTAGTAACAAGGGCATTACTACTAGTAACAAGAAGTTACTAGTAGAGTTGCACTGGTTACTATGTTCTCTCCACCATTACAGCTATTTCACATGTATAGACCAGTCTGGCAAAGCTACCCGCACCTTAATCACAGTCATGGCCGTTGCCACTTGACCGCCATTGAACATAAGCCTGGCAAGTTGGATGACAAGAACAAGAAACTGTCTGGTGCACATAAATCCGCCCGCACCGAAGGTGCTGAGGCGTTTTTATGAGGCACGCGTTATACCGCAAGCACCGCAAGTATTAGCTAGGGGGGGGCGTTTTCGCTCTAGAATCCTGTGTTTTTCACGTTTTTTGGAACCGGCTTAAAGTGCTGGAAGATAAATTCGTGCTAATGTTTGCTATCTTGAAGCCCAGTGATGCAAGAAATGCAATTGTCTGCTTTGCATCATCTGCATCATCTGAATCATCTGAGCGGTAAAGTGTAATTGGACTGAGGCCGGACATTTGGCTGAACAGGTTCCCCTAGCGGGGCTCAACATAGCTTCCATATTGCGTAACATAGCCCCAGAAGTCACTATCTAACGGACGTGTCTGCGAGATAGGGACTTGAACATCCGGGTACGTGGCTGGTCAGGAGCAGAGAGAAGGAAAGATAAGGTCCAGGAATGGTGGTCAGGAGCAGAGATAAGGAAAGATAAGGTCCAGGAATGGTAGCATTTTGTTACGAGCATAGCTTCCATATGATCGACCATAGCCCCCGAAGGCACTATCTCAAGCATGTTTTCTCGAGATAGGGACCCGAACGTCGCAAACACCCTCTCCACTTCCATATTGCCTAACATCTATTTGGCTCCACAGGAGCAGAGATAAGCAGATCAGGTCCAAGAACGGTAACATTCTCTCACGAGCATAGCTCCCATATGGTCGAACATAACCCCAGAAGTCACTATCTCAAGTATGCTTCGCCGAGATAGGTACTTGAACGTCGTAAACATGGCCCAACGAAGGCTCAAAAGGACTGGAATAGAGTGAAGATATTGCCTAACATAGCCCTAGAAGTCACTATCTAAAGGACGTGTCTGCGAGATAGGGACTTGAACATCGTAACTGGAATAAAAAACCCCCCTAACGTGGCCAAACATAGCTTCCATATTGCCTGACATAGCTTTAGAAGTGATATTTGGCTCCACAGGAGCAGAGATAAGCAGAGATCACGTCCAGGAACGGTAAGATTTTCGCACGAGCAGAGCGTGCATATGATCGAACATAGCACCAGAAGTCGCTATCTCAAGCATGCTTCTTCGAGATAGGGACTTCAACGTCGTAAACATGGCCCAACGAGGGCTCAAAAGGGACTGGAAAAAAGCCTGCAAAGTCACTATCTCAAGCATGTCTCCTCGAGATAGGTCCGGGTACGTGGCTGGTCGGGAGCAGAGATAAGGAAAGATAAGGTCCAGGAATGGTGGTCAGGAGCAGAGATAAGGAAAGATAAGGTCCAGGAGTGGTAACATTTTCTCACGAGCATGGAAGCTATGTCGGGCCACGTTAGGAGAACACGTTACCGTTAATTGACCTTGTCTCTGCTTATCTCTGCTCCTGTTGAGCCGAATGTCCGGCCTATCTTGAGCGATCTTGAGCTACCTTGAGAAAAGATACATCAATTTGCGACGTTCAAGTCCCTATCTTCCTTTCATACTGACTCCCTTGGCTCCAAGAGCACAAGAACCTGTTCCAGATCGTGTTCCTTCCTGAAGCTCTCTCACCGCTTACCCGACCCGCAAAATGGCAGCAGTCTTTTAACCCCCCAACTACGATTACTTGAACAAGCATTCGTTGGGCCATGTTAAATCCCTATCTCGAAACATGGAACCTATGCTCGGCCACGTTGGGGAGGGGGAGGGGTCACTTCCGGGGCTATGTTCGGTGGAAATATTGGCCCCTTCCATGCGGTGCGGGCGGTTACCGTCGCGAAGCGACGTGAATAAGTTCTTTCAAGGTGTTCGTGCGAACTCACCTTCAGGGTCCAACCCAAATGAAAGTAAAGGTGCAGCAGCAAAAGCTGAACTACTATGAACTACTCTCAAACCACGCGGGCTCGACTTGTTCACATCTTTGGCAGGATCCATTGTACCAGCATAGGCTTGGCCAGCCTTAGCCCATCTTGATTTGCATTATTGACCTCATGATAGCCTTGTATCACTTTGTTGTGGGGCCGAGTTCATGATGATCCCATTTGTTGGGGTGTTCCTATGCACCTGTCACGGGATCTTCCTAGAAATCCTGAGGCAGAGAGCCATACATATATATTCTGACTCGTTGTCAGAACGGTTGGGCTCCCTGTCAGTGCTCTTCCTCTGGATGGCATGGTTGTTTGCGTAGCTTGTTTCGGGCGCCGGGCATTTTGCGAGGTGAGAGTGTTGGGATCCACCAGCGTTCGATCATACCTCAGGTATAGCAGGTCTTCCACCCTAACCTTCACAACACCAAAAGCTGAATCGAAGCAAATAAACCCACCAAATTGAGGGGAGGTTGTCTGTTCCATCTCAGAAGCAATTCCATTGGTGTCCTCTGGGGCGCACGGGGCAGTGACACAGCCCGCATCAGTCAAGGTCAGAGTAGGGTCTGAGACCAGCTTCAGGGCACCGCCTTCCTGGCGTCAAGAAGAAATCGTCAGTATGTCATAGATGCTACTAGTAGCAAGGACGCTACTAGGGGCTCCTGGCCTTACTACTAGTAACAAGAAGCTACTAGGAACAAGGGCATCGCTACTAGTAGCTTCTTGCTACTAGTAGTAAGAATGCTCCTAGTAGCGATGCCAGGAGCCCCTAGTAGCGTCCTTGCTCCTAGTAGTAAGGCCAGGAGCCCCTAGTAGCTTATTGTTACTGCCAGTATGTATTGTCGTGTTTTTGTTTCTTCTTGCAGCAAAAAGGAAATCCAACCACTTGGAAGCTCTCAATGGCCTTCCTTTGACCGTTCTGCCCCGATGTTCTTAGAAAACCCGAAGCAATGAATGACAAGGGCAAGGAAAGCATGGCCTCAACCACCAAGCATCAAGTTCTTTTTTGCACTGCCATGTGTGCAGAAAGCAGTCTGCTTCTTCGGCTAGTTTCTTGCTTCTCTGACCTATGTCGCGCCACTACGGGAAAGCCTGAGACATTGATCAAGCAAAAGTCAAACCAGACTGACCGCCCTGGTCAATTTTGGCACCTGCAAGCCCATCACTCCATAGTCTACCTGGCCGTCAACTGCTACAAATCTGGGGCCCCACACACCCAGAATGCTCCATAGATTAAAAGCAAAACGATGCGTTGAGTAGTTCAATAGTTGACGTACTTTCTAATCTTGTCCGATTTCAAAACATATATAACCTTTATGTGTAGCCAACTCTTGAGTCTCGAGATTGGGGACAGGTCTCTGAGCACTCAAAGACAAAAGATCAGCGCCGCACCCATGGGCGATAGAAGCCAAAGGTGCCAGGCATATTCATGTACTCAATGATGAACTCCTCTTGCCTGAAGAGCACATTCACACCACTTCCCCACTTCAAGCAAGAGCTACCAAATTTGTGACCTGTGACTTGCTGCTCGCGCAGCTTTGTTTCGATGGTGATGACTTCAAACTCTAACCCCAATCTCTCTTGAAGCAATCGCACAACACTCTTCGTCCCGTTTCGTTTGGAACCTCCGTGGCCCCCATCCGGTCCGAGGGCATCACAAGACTGAGGTGTTGGACACACTGCTCACCAGTTGGAAGGGTGCAAAGCGAAGCTGACCCACCTGAAAAAATGAAATAGATAAAATAAATACAACTATAAAACTAACTCAAAAGAAAAAACAGTGCAGCAGCATCGGTCGACACCTCCATCTTGATTCGTTCTTCAGAGGTCAAGAATTTCGCTTCGGAGCTTTAACAAACAGAAGAATCAATACGGAATTAAAAACATGCAATGTTGATCGATCTAAACTAGCAACGAGTTGCACAGCGAGCACTGAGGAATGGATTTCCCGCAGCCTTGAACCAATTGGATGAGGTGGTGCAGTCGCCGTCACAGTAGCAGACCTGTGGCTTTGGTCCATGCAGTTCACAAGCACTGCACCGAGTCATTGAATGGGGTTTTGTTGAAGCAAGTTTTGCATAAGGATTCTAAGACTTATGAGATTCTACTACTACGATATAACTTGGCATCTAAAGCACGGCTCTTTGAGCACATAAATAACACTTGTGCTTCACTGGTTCACTAAGCTCACTGCAAAGTTTGCGAACATCAAAAAAATATAGTTCTTCCTTTCATATGTTTAAGCACATCCCTGCTGTGTCCCCAGAGAGCCCCGCATCAAAGGTCTCGCCAGAGTAACGGCTGCGTAGCTCATGGTCCGTGGGGCCCGTCCTGGCATCAAGGGCCCACACAGACCTTCCCCCATTACTTTCCCATGAGGAGTGTTTGCTTTTTAAAAAAACACTTCGGAGAATGGGACAAATCTATATTTATATATACATTGCATTGTAATACGTCCTTTATCTTGTGTGTCTTGATACATGGGTCGAGATGGGGCGCAATTTACCAAAAACATACAAGTGGAACGATTGACTATTGATCTATGCTCCTGAGCCTGTCCCCACCCTCCACAAGGCTCTACCCAAACTGCAAACTTTTCGGCTGAATATCCAGCGGTACCTTCAGCTGCCAGAAGGATGTCAAGCGTCCACTGCCCATAATGACTTCTGGTATTTTGGTGGTCTTCACAAATGTGAGACAAGGACAACAAGCCAAGAGCTTGTCTTCGAGAAGATGAGCACTCGCAATCTGTCTGATAGTCCAATATTATCACTGGACGCCAAGGACGTCGGTCTGTCAGCGGGCGGTTTTGGGTCCCAGGATTCAACGAGCCGTCTCAACCGGGAGAGCTCTTGGGCGACTCATCCCTGGTCTTTTCAGCGACAGCCACGAGAGTCACGAGAGCTGATCTGGGTCAGTTTCGCCTCATTAGTTTCATTGCAAAAAGAATACCTAAAAAGCAAAAGACAGATTTCCAAACCTTTTGACTCAGACGGTCCTTAACTAGGTAGCGATTCAATCGGCCCATAAACCTCTCATGGAAAATACTTGCATCTTGAGTTTTCTGTACATTGAGAGTGTTTCTCCAGCTTGTTTACTTACATGTTACATGATATTAAAAAAGAAAAAGAGACATCCATTTTGGTTTCGGTGGCGTTGTGTGAACATGTGTGAACTATCTCCACTCAGGCATGAAAAGAGCTACAGCGTCTGCCCCAGAAACAGCTGCATACCAACGGCAAGCTTTGTACTGAATCAATTCGGTCAGTTCAATGGAAAAACAGACCATAATGAAAGAACAATGCGCCTTTATGGACAGACAAGCAATAAAGTCTGCTCCCAATCAAAGACAATGGGCTGATGCTTGGGAGCTGAACATGAAGTGGGTGGCACTTGAGCATTCTGTAAGCCCCTACGTCTACTTCATACTTGGCTCTCCTCATGTGTCTTCCACCAGCCATAGAAGGCACCCTTCCGACTTTGAACTGACCAAAACTGCAACTGCACCCTAAACAGTAAAGCACCCTGGATGGGCGCCACTGCAAGGACGTTAGCGCGCCACTGCTCCAATGTCGAGCGAATTTCGAGCAACAGCAAGTGGCAACCAAAAGCAAGAAAATGTTGACGAAACTGTTCAAAGGAGTGGCCCAAAAGATGTGCTGGAAGCCTAACCCAGTTGAGCCCTGCCCTAGTTTACCCAATATGTTCAATGGATTTCAATGGTCGCTATGGGCCACTTGCCCCTAGCGGCCCTAGCCAGTCATGTGTTGCGGCGCAGCATGGAGCTGCCGGCCGCCAGGCTGGGCCTACAATGCCGAAGAAGATGCATTCAAACAGGCAAAAAAAAAGTCTTGAAGAAATGAAGCGAGCATGGCAAACTGCAAAAAGTTGCTCGCTGCTTGAAAAACAGTCCTGGAATGGCCATTCTTCGCAAAACAAATATCCTTAAATCTTTCACGGACCCGTCGCAAACAATGTTCCTAAACGACAAAGTATCTATACACCACCAGGACAGAAGTTTTCTTCTTGAGGGCTCGAAAGTTAAAGCCCTGTCCCCTTAGAATCTTGTAAGACACTTGTGTCACCTCACGCGGTCAAAGTTCCTCCCTTCAAGCTCTTTAAGTTTATGTATTTATATTAAATATATAAATGTGTTGAATTTAAAAGGGGATGATCGAGATGGACTTCCTAGTTGGATCGTCACTGACTCATATAGAATGTTGTAAGAAAATGAAAAAAACATATAACAAAAATACACTGTCTTTCCCCTGAAGGAAATGACACGTGCTGGAAGGTTAGTTATTACCTTCAAATGATATTTTGCCAATATATATATATATAGTATGTATATATATATATACTTTCGCGCACTCCATCGCGGATCTTTTGCGAAGGGTTCAACAAAAAAACATGAAGGTCATTCTCTACAAAATATCAATGAAGGGCCGTAAATCAACTCCCAATTGTGTCCAAAGGCTGTTGCGGTATGCTTAACCCGCATAGTTGAAGAAACCGCACACGACTCGTTATGATGCAACTGCTTGGTCATGGTTTGATAGGTTTGCTAGCAGCTTCGTAGGGGTTGAATACGGGTTTCGCTGTATACAGCGAAACAAAGAACTTAGCAGCCTAGCAATGTTTTGCATGTCACTCTCCCCAGAGAAAAACGTTATGCACTTGACACCACCTCCCAGGCACGAGTCACAACGGAGTTACATAAGTTATATATATATATATATCCAACATGTTCCCGAAGCAAGTTACTTCAAGAAGCAAGAAGCATCAGCATCTTCGTTGTAATCACAACGAACATCAACACCCCCAACCCCACGCCCCAGTGTGCCTTCAGAGAAAATTGTCAGAACCACAACAAAAATAACAAAACAAACAAGACATTCCCAAAAAATCCAAAAAGGCTACCGGGCAACCTATCAAACCACCAATTACTTTGGTGCACATTTGGAAAACGGTGGTCTGAGCTTGGGTTGAAGGTCCTGAATCAACTCGTTTTGGCATGTGGTCATCATCCATCAGCTCAGCTGCCAAAGTGGCTTCTAATGGACTTCCAAAAACAGCCAAAATGTAGCTTGAAGATCGAGAGCTAGATAGCGGCGTCTGCGTGTGCATTTTGGCCCTATTGGCCTGCTTCGCTTCTTCTTGCTCATCTCGCGCTTCTCTTTCCATCTCCTCCTTTTCATCCTGCAGTGAACTTTTGGCGAACCAAACACATCAACCTAGACCAAACAATCGCAAATACCATCGCAGCTGAAAACCAGCTCTCACCTGAACCTTGGAATCATGGAACCTTACCTCCAACTGATCAGTAGTCGAGTCACTGGTGAAAAATTGGCCGAGTTTAATTGACAAGAACCAGTGCGTTCCAGCCTCATCCACACCTCTCTGCAGCCATCCAGAGGGGACATGGTGCAGTTCATGCATTTCCTGGGTGTCACCAATGCTCACTGTAAGGCAGCAAGGTCACATCAAAGCAATCCACGACTTTGGGACGAAAAAACATCAAGCTCGACAAGGGATGAACATAGCAAACATATCCTTTGCGGATGCTCCATATGCATGCGTGGGGGGTCCTTTTCAAGTCTTGCAAGAATCAGTGGACATTGTGTAGGTCCTCTGTATGTTCGATATGTGAAGTCGTCCGAATCTTTGAAAGGTCCCAATTCCACATGATGCTGACAACCAACACTCGAATAAATTGACTACAAACTTGGAGCTTGCGCAAAAAGACTTTGCAAACAACCAACCATTGAGCCGTGCATGGATGCGTCTGGAAAGCAAATCCAAAAAGTAATTACATTCGACTTTAAGCTACCTGTGTTGCCTATGCCATGTGGATACCTAAAGGGGGCTTCAATTCGAATTCCAGCTGTGGCGCGCACCTCTCAGGAACCAATGCCGTGTCTTAAATTTAAATCTAAACCCCCTCCCAGCTCACCACCAGCGCGCCTTTTTTGCAAAAGAAGTTCAGTCTTCACGCTGGGTCTTGACGTTTGCCAAGGCAGCAGTCGCTTCGTAGTGGTTCCAAGCGACATAGGCCAGTACGACCTCTGGCCCCCAAATCTCCTCCGAAACTGACTCTGGAGGAAGAAACTTGCGATCTATCTCTGGGTTTTCCCCAATGACCTGCACTGGCCGGAGGAACAAATGCGCTGCTGCTTGCAATGTGCATTCGTCCCCATAGGAGCCATCCACTTCCATGTGCGCAACATATGCCTCGAAGTTGCCCCAGCGAAGGTCGAACAAGGATCCGAAAAAGTCTTTCATTGCGAGCATATATTGGCAAATCTGTTGTCTGAGCTGGTCATGTAGAATTGGAGCATTGGCTGAAAATGCGAGTGCGATAAACTGGCAATTGCCATCCATAGGAGTAGACAACCTCTCTAAACCCAGCGGCTGCAAGCGGGCGGTAACAGCAGCTTGGCTCACAATGAGAGCATCTCTGGCTTCCGCGCTCTGCTGGGAAGACACTTCTAAAGCCAGGTTCAATTGCTCTTGCTCCCAGTTGTCCTCAGCACGGCCGCGGGAAAAGCGGTGCTGCTCGTCAGAGATCTAGGAAAACAGTTGTGAAGGGTTTATCTACAAAAGCATTTGGGATTTCAATTGCCTCGTCAGAAAAATCGAACGTCCAAAGAGGAAGAAAACTAAGTCTTGAAGATGATGCCTCCATGACTCTACAGCCTTTAAAAAAACCTTCGACACGGCATCACAAATCTTCTTCTTCTTCTTCTTCAAGGCTGACCACTCCTGATAGTGCTGCTTGCAGTAGTTTCCCACAACGCGCTTTTTGCGGCAACGTCGACCTTTCGAAGCAGGAGCCAGGCATAGGATATCCTCCTTGTCTGAAGCGCCAAAACAATGCAAGAATGCTGGCTCACTCGACACCACTGCAATACCCGGCATGTAGTTTTCCCACCTGGATTCCTCTGGCTCTGCCTTGACTGGCGCATTCAACGGATCTGGCGGGGCCAGCATGGCCTTTGTTTTTGCTGACCGGCTGGCGCGTGCCTTGACTGGGAACATGTTTCCCATTACTCACCGGCCTTGGAAGGAGAATGCTGCGCAAAAGCTTTAGCATGCGCCCTCTTCAAGACAGCCGTGTTCTTGTTCTCTGTGTGCTGGCCAACTGCTTCAACCTGGAGCTTGTTGTCTTCAGTCCATGAAAAGCAGTGCTGGTAAGAGCAATCTTGGCAAGCAAGACACCGAGCTATCAAGGTTGCTTTCCCATTGTGAGAGGAGTTGGTGAGAGTCTTGTGAAGAATCTTCTGAGAGGAGAGCCACTTTTGCCCAGCCACCCGAAGAGACTCTGACTCAGGCACATCCACCACCGCCACAACCTGCCATGGCTTTCGCCTCCTTCCTTTGGAAGGAGTCTCAACTTCCACCTCCTCAGCCTGAGCCAGCATTTTCTGGCGAAAATTAAAATTCGATGGAAAGCCAATGACTTTGGGAGGTCTTCAATCTAAAGTTCAGCCACCTAGGAGACCACAAGGTTTTAAATTCAGATGTAAGGCAGCTAGTGCTTTGAACCTTTGAGAAAAAACTTGATTTCAGATCCTCACAAGGAATTAAATTCAAATTTAAGCCGGTGTATAGAGCAGATCCTGTCTTGGAAACCTTGAATCCAAATCCAAGCCACTTCTCTGTGACTGTACCCTCTCAGCTGCAAAACCAGGTTTAATTTGAAGGAAAATCATTTCCAAATCTGGATTCCAGACATATTCAGCCGTGCATTGGGAACAGCAGACCAACCAACATCCCTTTCCTGTCATGTTCTTCCGAGTCGCTGAGATCTTCCCGAAGACTGACACCGAGTCCTGCAAATATCCCGTTTCTGGTGAGTGGAAAATCCACAAGCAGCAGTCAGTTTCTGGCAGAAGAAGCAGGTTGTATACTAGCAATCGCTTTGGAAAATTGAAAGGCGATTCTTGGCCACTAGCAATCCCAACGGCTCATAGGAAAGTGGAAGCCAAGTGTTAAAAGGCTGGTATGTTTGCAAACCAAAGCATTCGACCGCAAAACCAAACCGTGGATCTGGTTCACAAAAGCAAGTGAAAGCCATGTGATTTGGCAGTCTTCGGGTTTCTACAAGGATTTTGCCAGGATTGGTCTTTGCACATGTTCCGCAACGCTTCAACCCATCTTCCTGAACACACTGCTCGATTGGTTCTGGCGCGACTCTCTAGTTTCCCGAGTGCTTGCCCACATGATCCTGATTTGCGTACTGAAGCAGCCTAGCCGGTAGCCCTGTCCTCCTTTCCTGCTTTCCAGGCCTGTCACACCGGAAACCAAATCATGAGCCGTAGCAGGTTTGGGAACTACAACCAAAATTTTGCTACAATAACCAATATGGAAATGACACATGACATGTTTGCAGATTGCTGAAATGATTGAAACAGCCCTGCACACTTGCACTCGCCTCCTCCAGTTCCCGCAACTCTGTGTGTGGAATGATGCCAATCATCAACAACTCCTGCACCGCCAGGATCGAAGAAGTCCATTCAAGTCCAAGACCAAACAAATGGAAGCCAGCCACTAGGGTGTGGAAGCTAGCCAGTCAGGTTTGGTCTGGACCCAGACATGTTTGGTGAGAGCGGAGCTGATAATTTTGTGCTGGGGTCGCTGAGGGGTCTCTTGGAAATAATAGCATGAATTGGAGGTGATCTACATATCCACCTGGCGTACTGGGAATGCGGAGGAAGGTGGGGCAATGGCAATGGCTGTAGAAGGGGAGGACAATTTGCTATCAACCTCGCCTCCACAATGTCACGTGCTGGAAGCACTCGGCCAGAGCCAAGGCCCGCTCCCACGGCATCCAGATCAACCTTGTCCAGCCTCAAATAACTTGACAGCTTTGTCATCAAAGTTCTCAGACTGACAAGGTGTACAATTGTTTCAGCACAGTGCCTTTTGCAGGCCTTGCCAGAGTGGACTTCATTGTGAGGCAAACTATGTCAGCTCAGAAGGCGAGTACCATGACTTGCGGCCAATTGGAAACCCTAGGCGGCCCTAGGTCTGACGTATTGTTGGCCAACCTGATCCACAATTTTTGAACCCCAGTCCGGTCCTATTGATGAAAAACCCGTAGATCCAAACGGATTACTTCAAATCCCAAACTCCTTCAGCTGAGGTCCAACTCTTCAGCGACTTCACCTTCACTGAGATCATCCATTTTTTGATCCAGCGCCTGGGTGAGCAAAGTCTTGACAAGCATAGATTCTTTAGAGTGTTTCTGAGAATATCGCTAGTAGGTTGGAGGCCATCGCTGTTTGGCTTGCGGGTTGCGCTTTATTTGCAGTATATGTTTGGCGGATGCGGAGAACACTGTTCTTTGAGGGCCATTCTGCTTTCAAACCTGCAAAGACACATCGTTGATCCAAAAGTATCATCCGTGGATCTCACAAGACCTAGACGTATTCGAGCCTACCCCAAGTCACACCTTGTTGTGGGCCAAACCACTGCCCCTTCAAACTCTGACAGCAGATCTTATGGCGAGCATCGGCTGGGCCATGGTCAGATGGGCATACAGACAGTAGCTAAGTAAACTGTATTTGATGTATTTGTCAAACATAGAACAACCATGCGAGCAGGCGAGACGCGTCTCAGGCTAAGTGTCTCACAAGGAGCGCGTCAAAGGCTTTGTTGCCGGGCTTCAGTAGCTGTCGCGGCTTTCCGGAAAACTCCCTGCCCGCAATGCCCGCTGTTCGCATTGCAATGTATGGCACATCTCAACATCTGAAAGGACGATCAATCACGATGACACCGCACATCCGCAAGCCTTTCATAATCGTTGAAGATCCAGAAGAAGCCTTCCAGGATGCCTCATCTCAAACAGAACAATGATACATAGCAAACCCCATGCTCAGTGATGCTCAGTGAAAGTATGGGGATAAACAGGAAGCAGTGTGGGTTCCCGAAAACGGAACTATCTCCTTCGATAGATATCATACCCTAGCCCTAGCTACTATTTGGGGTGGGACGGGACCGATGAGACTGCCAGACCTAATAGGACGTAAGTAATAAGATGCTCTATGAGATGGTCGAAGAGTCGAAGAGTCGACCATTAAGTCAAAGTAAACTGCTTCAAGTCGACTGTTGGTTCGATTTCTTTCCCTCACTGGCCCAGCGGCCCTTCAAAGGGTCTTCTGGCTCTGAAAGGTTTCCGCCTGACGCGGTTCAGCACGTGCAACTTTGGCAGCTTCTGGGAGTTTGCTCCCCAGAATCTTCTTAGGATTGTGTCGAAACACATTTTAAGGGGGTGCATCCCATCACGCGAACTTTCAATCTGCGGATGTTGTTGCAGTGTTGCTATGCTTCAAAGGCAAGCGTGGCAACCTCCAAAGTTTTGTTCTGAGAGCACTGACCACTATCACTACATTAGCTTTCGACTCACCTTCTACATGTAGGTGCACAAATATCAGGTTTCTGTGAGTTCGTCTTTTGATACACATGTGTTGGTGTAATGCTCCTGTGTATGTCTGTGGGCATGTACGCGCATGCTGTTGGCTTGTTTCACATTCATTTGCAGCGTCACTCCGCAGTTCCACTCTGCCTTGCGGCAGGGCATCGCCGAAATCCATTCCGCCGTCCTCTCGAGGAAGAATGCTAGACAAGTGGGCAAAAGCCATGTCTAACCCACAAATGTGCTGGCCATGAGTCCAACCCACAAATGTGCTCTGTCCGCCTTTCTTTCTTGATTTATTGCGGTCATGCTTGCATTCTTGCTTGCTTGTCCGCTTTCTTCCTGTCTTCTTTCCTTCTTTCTTTCCTTCCTTCCTGCCTATCTGCCTGACTTGTCGTTGCACCTTCAATGAGTTGTACCTTCAAAGGGTTCTTGAATCTTGATTTACTTCGATTCCCTTATGGTTTGGTGATTGGTTCACGAGCTCCAAGGTGACCATATTTCAAGCATGCTGGACCAGCCACCCGCAGCCCAACCCAAGAGAGTCAGCATGTAGCCTCGCGGTATCTCAAAATCTGGTTGCAGCCTACCTAGGAAATGAGACACTTTGAAGGTAGCCTGGCCCCACAGCCTCGATGGGGGATATGGATTGCCCTCAGTCACTGAGGCTGAAAACATGATATTGCAAAAACATGCAACAATATGAAAAAGGAAGACTTCATGATTCATGAAGAAAGTCAATTGTCCAACCATTCTTTGAAGCATGGGCCCATTGCAGACAGTTGAATCTAGACTCAAGCGAAAAGGTTGCTCAATTCCAAATTCAAGAAAAAGAAGCTATGGCTATGGCTTGCATTACCTGCCTGATGCAAACAGCTTTTGATTATTCTTTGAGTATTTGCACAAAACACCAGACTTGAAACAACCTTGTGTTAAAGTATGGCTTTGTCATCTCAACAAAGTCCTCTGCTATGAGTTTTTCTTCGGCTTGGACTTCCTGAAACACCTGACTGATGGCTCCGCACACACACAAAACTCTTCTGTACTCCTCTATATATATACACAAAAAAAGTTGTCTCTGAAGGCAAGTTGTCACGAGTTGTACCTAGGTGTTGATCCATCCCCAAATTTGTTCAGACTTGTTCTTCCTGTTCTTGGCTTCGCTGTTCTAAAGCCGAGCGCCTCTTTTTCAGCCCTCTTTTCCAGTGGTACAGCTCGCTTCCCCGCTTCCACAAGGTGATCCACTAGCCTTGGTGGAAGTTCCCTACAAGTCCTACTGAAACAGTGGGCATGGTGTTGAGGTATGGTTGGAAGTTAAATAGTTAAGCTAGCAGCTAGATCCGTGAAATAGACAGGCTGCAGCTGATTCTTCCCTCGCAGTGCATTTCTCATGACTCTCTCTCCCTCTCTCTCCCTCTCCCTCTCCCTCTCTACCTGCGCTTGTTGGGTTGGATGAAACAGTGACGTAAGCCCTTTCTCATCAACTGTCCACAGCATCACCCTTGGGGGTCCAACGCTCATGGCCACTTGTGAGTAGAGCACACAAAAAATGTTGTCTTTTGTATTCATAACAAAGCCCCTGTAAAGCAAGACGCATGCATTGCTGGACTCTGCAAACCCGCATGTCATTTGTTTATAGATCACATCAAAGGCAACTCAGGCCAAGACCTCTTGGTGTGCTTGATCCCTGCTTTTTGCTGATCTGCGACCTGGACTCACGCAGGCCGGGCAGGCAAAACTATTTCATAATGAGGGTTTTAAGCACATTACTCTCATTTCCTATCGATTTAAGATCGACATCGATACATGTGTTCTGCATGTCAATGTCTCAAACTACCTCTAAAGCTGTGAGTTCGCAGCTCGCAACAACCATTCCGCACAACTGCTTCAAGGAAAATTACGCCCCACACCGCCATGGGAGCGACATGTCCGAATGTTTTGTGTACACCCACCCTGCTCACTGAGCCTTGATCTTCTAAACAAACCAATGCCGAGAATCAGAAGATCCACCAGGATAAGGCTCCCACCAAACGCAGAACTGAATCAGCCAGCTTTGCGGCCTCCCAAACCCCCCTCCGGTGTTGGAGCGTTTTGGCATCAAGCCACAATTCAGATTCAGCTTGCGCATTAGCAGGATCACTTGCCACAAACACTGAATCCGGGTGTGCTGCCACTCAAGCCAGTGCGGTTGCAGAACCAAATCAAGCATAATGCAACACATTGGAACAGTAGGTTATCCACACATTTTGTTAAGGTGTGCGGATTTCTAACTACTTCCGGACACTCAAAAGAGGCTCCACGGATTTTCTGGGTGCAAAAACTACACAATTAGGATTTGCCTCTATGCCAGCTATGCACCAAGGCCAAACTGGTGTAAATCAGACTATTATGTTAAGTGCATTCATTCCAAAAGGCCATGCTCTTTGTCCTGGTGCATTTGGGCATCCAAACAAAAATGATCCAAACCCATTCTGCACTGCACAGGGGCCACCTTGCACGAGCACTTCACCCAAAACCCCCACCTTGTCACTGTTCAGGCCCAGATCTTTGGACGTCGCATCCACGGTAGCTTTGACCTTGGCCTGCAGATGTCCGACAGAACAGGAATCAACGATTTGCTTGATGCCAGGTACCGTATACCTATTGCTTGTACTACATCCTGCCATATACTTGGTTGTTCACGGTCGTGGCATCCCCCCTTCCCAGAACTCAACCAACCAAGGCCGTAGGTCGGGCCATCTATGCTGTTCACTAGCGTGTAAGCGGCTCTGTTCATGTGTGTCGAAGCACTGTGAGTCCAAATTGTTTGGATCGTAGTTACGCCTGAGTGAGAGCTTCTGCCTTCTTCTGTGTTCTTCCCACGGAGGTCATGTTCTATCATTACTATTTACATATGTATCAGCATCATATTTTACCATCTGCGACTCATTCGAGCTTTACATCATCAGACAACACCGAATGACCCACCACTTGCACAGATAGAGTAGCTTAGAGATTTTAGACAAGCTCAACTGGCCCTGGTTATCTCACAGGGATCATGAGCATGGTAGGACAGTTTTCCTGCAACACTAGTTCTTTCAATTGGGAATCATCCATCTCCGACAATGCTGGCGTTGGAAAGGGTCCGAAGGGTCCCAGCGTTCTACATTTCAAGCTCGGCAGGCCTCAAAATTTGAGTAGGAGGAGTTCAAGAGCTTCATGAGCATCTGGGCCTGTTCCAAGCAGCCAGTGATATGATAGGCAAGTCCGCAAATCCATGGTGCCCTCTTGTGCAAACGAGGCCAATTGGTTGAACGCACAGCGAGGCAGGACAAGCTGAGAAACGGGTTGCCTTCCTTTCCGCTCACAAGAAAAGTCTTCTATACTTGCTCTCGACTCTATCTGTATCTGACTAGAAAGATTGCAATGGTGGCCCCTGCCGTCTGGCTATATCCTTTTGCAATGGCCTCGTGGGATTCGTGGATGTCGTCTCGATATTCGGACCACAGTTCCATTCCAACCTCGAGCAGTCCCTACGCCGACAGTCCAGACTCCAAGGCAGCTGAATTGGACAAGGCAGCTGAGGACATTGCCAAGCTCCCTTGTCAAATTAAACTGCCCCCAGAAAGCGTATGACTGCTTTGGCACGGCTGCAAATTGGAGTGGTCGGAAACAATCAAAACGGAGCCGCAAATCAGTTGAAGACATTGTTGTCCAATCATTAGTGACTTCCGGACGAGCTCTGTGATTGGCACCAAGGATTTGATGTGCAAATCCAAACCACCATGCTCCCATGCTCGGCATGTACTGCTATCACAAATGTGCATTCAGTCGCACAAAACCATCACCAGGGTGAAAGAAACACATTCGAACATCAAATCATCGTCTCATCAAAGTCGGCCTGGGCCAGCTTGGATGCTGCATGGTGCTCCTCTCGTCGGAGGTCTTTATGAAGAGCTCGCTTTTCGAGGTGGATCCTGGCACAAAGCGATTGGTGGCGCGACGAGGGAATGTTTGGAAATAATAAGAATTCCGACAAACGGGAGTTCTTCTTCACCGTCTCTTTTTCAACTCCCCATTTCCTACTAGGAGCAAGGACGCTACTAGGACCTCCAGTTCCCGTGTCCTCTCTTCCCATTCGTCCCTTCTTGACCAAAATTCCCTGTCCCAGCTCTCTTGTTCTACAGTTCGCTGGCACCAGTTTATGTCAATGCAACGTTGGAGACCTTCACACAAAAGTCCTGAGAACCCATCTCTGGTGTCTGTAACGGTTCCATCTTGGCAACATCGTGCATCACCCCCGACTTACAAGCAGTTACAGGTCAACTCTCGAATTCAGATTCCAAATCGAGGTAACCTGCAGCCACAGGCACTCGAATTGTGACCACACTCCCAGGAGCGCCAGGATGCCAATGCAGCCGATGCTTCCGACCATCAGCCCGATCAAACGAGTCCTTTTGATCCTCAGGAGCTATGGTCCGAGAGATGCTTAAATCTCAAGGCACAGCTATATACGTCTTTCTTCTTTGTTTTGAGAGGGTAGGCGGCTAGTAAGAGCTTAAGTAAGCTAAGTAAGCAGCTAGTAGCTATTAAGTCAAGGGTTCTTGTAAACTTCTGCCTTTCACATGGTCATGAGGGAAACTAACCGTTTCTTGTCCTCAGGTTTGGGATGCAGAGAGAAAGGCAATATCAGGCTACCAGGTAGTGGCTCATGCACTGGAGTTTGCATGATTAAGGCTCTGAATTAGGGCTCCAGACGCGTAGCCCAACTCGGTTTCCTCGGCAGGAAGCTCAGGGTCTGCCACTCCAAACAAATGCAGGAGTCCGCAGCGCAGCGGCGCAGCGGAGAAGAACGTATGGTTTGGTTTCTAGCGCTGAGAAGTCGCATTGGCGCCAATCTTGCTTTTCTCAAAGCCCACCTGAGGATGAAAGTGATACAGCTGCAAACACCCCTGGCCCTGGCTTCAGGCTTCTGAATTCTGTCTGGTGCATCCAGGACACAGTTGTAAATAGGTCTGGAGTCGTCATCCGCCACAGCTACCACCCCCCGCACGGGGGTCAAAATTGGAGAATTCACTCCGAGCCAGGCAGCGATGAAAACTATGACTCTATCGCTACTAGGAGCAAGGACGCTACTAGGGGCTCCTGGCCTTACTACTAGGAGCAAGAACCCTACTAGGAGCAAAGGGCATCGCTACTAGGAGCAAGGACGCTATTAGGGCAACAATCACGAACAAATTGCTTAAGCCTCGAAATGTGTTCAGCATGGTGTGATGGGGAGAAGACATCCTTGATCAAACTTACAGAAATCTATCTGCATCTATTTGCATCATGGATAATATCATCTAGTGGAGACAAGACACTGAGGACACTAGACACTGAGGACACTGACGACACTGAGGACACTGGGCCTGAACTGAAAGCCTGAAGTCTTGGGATCGAAGATCAAGCCAGAGGACGAGTTCTTAAAGTTCCAGAGCTTATAATCCTGGTGCCACGTACCACGCGTGCAACACTTGAAGGGGCAAAACGTTTGACGCGGCGCACAGTGTTTCGATAGGGCTTTGTCATCTCACAATTGGATGAAAGCAAAACACACAAAACTAACTGACTAATAAGTTGCACAGATTTGCCTCTTCGCAGTGCCCCATGCTAAGACTGATCTTCTAGGTCTGCATCAATTGATTTATCCATACACGGTCAAGTTCCCAATCTCCTGTCGCAGACCGCCATGCATGGTGGCCTTATGAGAAGATAGGCAAAGTGGAATGACAGTATGATGAACAACTCCCTCGCGAATGCCCAAGTGTGAGGAACCTTTCACCAGCCACTAAGCTTGGTGCAACGTCTGGATTATCGTCCATTGGTAGAACCTGAGACATTTCAACAAAATGAGAGATGCTGAAAAGCATAGGAGTGTGCGCCACAGAAAAACATGCATGCTGCATATGAGCACACAATGGATACCACAGTTCTGATAAACGTCTTGTAGTGACATCATGTTTCACAAAAGAAGTTGTGAAAATATGGGGCTACCAATATTGCAATTGCCAAAAAAAAGATAGCGTTGGCTTGACATTGGATGGCATGTCCAACAAACACCAGAGCCCAGGCACCTGCAAGCCCTCGCTGTTCACCCCATGCACTGCAGAGGAACATGTGGCCGTGGGATCCCAGTACGCCAAGTTGTTCGTAGCCTCCACGGCAGGTTGAGGAGTCGAGGGTACGCACAACAGAGGAGAGCCATGGTTTGTTCGTTATCAAATGATCTCCCTGGATTCATTTCACAAGTAGAGTCCTGCGAGGTTCGCTGCCTAGCTAGACCGCTGCATGAAAATGCATGAAGTGTACGAAAAGCCGCAGATCATGCCAATGGGCGATGGACTTCCAAGGTCAGGCAGAAAAAAGGAATCAAATGAATAGTGCGAGCGCTTCTTGAAGGGGGCATGCGCTATCCTGCGTCCGTCTGTGGTAGCTTAAGTAGCTAGTAGCTTACTCCCTTACTTAATTAAGTAGACGCTTACTAAATTAAGTAGGAGCGGGCTAAAGAAATAAAACACCTTACATTTGTTCGGACTGATCCGGTCCCACGAATTTCTGTTGCAGAGTACAGTCTCTCGTCAGTAGTCATCCTGAGGTCCCAACTGCTTGCTGAACAATCTTTACTCGGCTTTTGTCCGCGTAAGCACACGCAGTGCTGGGACACTCAACACGCAAAGCCTTAGCATGCCACAACAATGACTTTTCAACTTGCAGGTCGGCCTGCAGAGCCTCCAGCAGTTGCAATGAATTTTCTGTCACGGTTCAATGAATGGGTATATGTTGATACTAATCTCCCACTCTTGGGTGTTTTGGCATTTGAGATCTCCTCAGGCTCCAACAAAGCGATGCTGTGGTGCAGCACCTCGAGAAAAAGGCCCATGCAATAGCTGGATGGTGAGTCTTTTGTCCCCGATCTGAGGACTACCAGCAGCCTTTCTATTCCAAAGTTACAAACCTAACTCATCACTGGTGTGTAAGCTTGAGATTCCGCAGTAAGTGCACTTGGCTTCAGTCAAGTTGAAAATGGAAAGTTCTGCGTCAATCCTCAGCTACATCCCCAGCTCAAACCAGAACTCCGCCTGTGAAATCCAGAGCGCACATCGTCGCTTCGAAGCCGTTGGGACAAACCTGGCTAGGTCACTTAGGACAACTCCTGCTTCAAAACCTCTCTTTGAGACCGTTGAATTCCAGAGTCTACTACAAAGGCTGTGAGATGGGCGCGGGATGACCATCTACGTCCAAGATATACAGTAATACAGTAAACATCAAGATAGGACCTACATGACCAGGATGGTAACAAAGGTCTCAAAAATCTGCAGCTGTCAAGTTCTGATCATCATTTGTGCATCCGCTTCAAAGCAAATGTCCGGAAGGTGTTCAGATGGTGCGGGCCGTCAACAAAAGTTCAGATCACTTTCCTTGTAGGTCAATTGTAGGTTGATGCTTCAAAAGCGCAAGTACATATATATATATACTATTCAATTCAAGCACTTCCAGCAGATCCAGAGTGACATGCAAAGTCTTTCCTCATGGGGTCGACGGTGCCTTGGTGGCATAGAAGTACAGGAGCCCAACCTGACAGGGCAAATCACGTTGCATTACTACAAGAAGCTACTGGGAACAAAGGGCATCGCTACTAGGAGCAAGGACTCTACTAGGGGCTCCTGGCCTTGCTACTAGGAGCAAGAGGACGCTACTAGGAACAAAGGGCATCGCTACTAGTAGCAAGGACGCTACTAGGGGCTCCTGGCATCGCTACTAGGAGCATTCTTACTACTAAGTTCCGTCTGCGCTGGGCTGAAGAGCCTGCTGCACAAAGTCCGGGCTGAACTCATCGCACCTCTGGAAGTCTGGGCAGTAGCAAGCCTCAGCCAGTCTCTTTGCAAACACTCCAACATGGAAATTCTTTGAAGAAAAAGAACATTGAAGAGATGCAACAGGACGGTTGTCTTTTTTCACACCTCTTTTAGGACTTCTTTTCTCTGCCCTTCACACCTCACCCGATATTCTGAGGCGCCCCACCGCCACGGCATAAGCCTGGTAGTCCGGTCCCTGCAAATCTGGGCGCCCAGGTGGGATGGTGATTCCTCAGAATAATGAAGAAAAAATGATGCAAAATGTTCAAAGAAAAATGATGCAACGGGGTTTTTCAGGATTTTCTCCCCATGCACCAAGAAAAGGCCAAGAGAGAAAACTCAGCACTGAACTCTTGTAGCTGTGTGCCGCATCGGGCGTTATGTAGGGGTCCTGCAAAATCGGGAAGGAGGCCAGATCACTGGCAACCATACAAAGATCTTATGTGCACTGGTACTTTTGCAAGAATCAAGACAACGGGCGGTCCCTTGCATCAGTAATAGCTCCACATGCACCGTTCGCATTGCAGAGGAAAACTGCTGGGTAGTCATTGAACTTAGCCAGCAGCAGGCAGGCATTTATCTCAGACAAAAGCATCCCCTTACATTCTGCCTTTGAAATCAGAAGGCAATAGCCGCTAGCCAAGCCCACAGGTTACACAGCTATAACTCTAGAACCAATCCACGCTGAGGTCGCTTCAGTCAAGGTTGCCGTTGCAAAAATGTGTGGATGTACTGCTGGGCCACCATATATGGAACTAAGTCATTCCCTCACTCAGAATACATCAACCTAAGGCTTGTGAAAAAGTAGACATTATGGACGTAATCTGGATACGTGCGTGGTTGCCAATCGGTTGCTTGAGTCCTATCTGATGGGGATGGCCTTATCTGTTAATGCTAGTCACCCTCATCTATTCTTCACGGTTCTCCGCCGACACCGAGCCTGACCGTGCCAACTCTGGGCCTCACACCCCTGAGGAGCCGCAGGTGCGGGCCACGTCGTTGGTCACTTTGCCATCGGCATCGTGGGCTGCGGAAGAGCGAGACTTGCAGGTGACTCGAACGGAACGAACGGTGGGAGGGTGGTGACATCAGGGTGACTCACGTGGAACATCACAGCCTCCATAAAGTGCAAAAGAAAACTGCTCAGATTTGGTTGGTCAGATGGTGAATGCTCGATACTGAAGGACCTTCCATTCTTCTAATGTCAGAAAGTCATGGGGAGTGCAATTGACACAGCTGCAGCTACGCTCAGATTGGCTGGTTGTTGACTGCTGTGGCTGTGAGTATTGTCTGAGCTTCTCAACTTCCGGTGGTCTAAACAGTACAAATATACAGTATACAAATAAGACTCCAGCTTGCGTGGACACGTCGCGGGGACTCTTATGGAGTGACTTTGGAACAGGATACATGCTCAGCCCAGTGAAGTGTGCCAAGGCTCGTGCTTGTTGCAAATGGCCCAGTCCATGATCCAAGGCCAGGGAAGCCAGTAAAGCCTGTAGTCAGGTGCAGTCATCATGTTGACGGCCACACAACACATCACCGAGCCTGCCCCTTCGTAGCTGTAGTCCACAACACAAGAAGAGGTTCCGCCATAGGTCTGAGTTGAGCCGGTGCTTCGAAGGATCCAGTCGCTTGGTGTCAAAAGCCATTGGGATGTCCCGCCCCCTTGTTCCACTGTGTAGCCGTTGGGAAGGTCCAAATGTTCTTTCAGCTCAAATCTGGACTCACTTGGAGAATTACCCTGGGGCGCGAACATCTTCCATGTTGTTGTAAGCTTGCCGCCGCAAGAAACAGTGGTAGGGCCGATAGGTGAGGCAAGTCTCATCTGCAAAAAGGATGCAGATGGAAAGCTCAAAGAAAATGTCAGCGTGGATTGGCCGGAGAAACTGAATTATACCAATAGACTATACAAGTGGAGGTATAGGTATGTCAATTCAGCCTTCAGCGCACTGCGTTCTGTGATCGAAGACACCGTAGACCTCGAGCAGTCCAAAGGCATAAAGAATCATGGCACACACACACATCAACCAACTCCAAGCTGCACGCATAGTCCAAGTCAAAATCACATTCAGCGTGGATATACATGTCTAAAGACCGGCAAAGGCTTCCTTGTGACCCTGTCATGACAAGGAAATCGAAAGCATTTGCTCGCCTCAATCCTCTGCGGCACAATGTCTGTGTGTCCAGGATCAAAAGATCCATCATCAGAATAGCAAATGTGATAGATGCCACCCATTTTGAACCTCAGCCAAGATCTCCAAGTTGCAAAACATAACACTATGCGATATTCTAGTTGGACATCCTAACAAAATCCAAGTATGAGAACCAATTTGAGCTTTCTTGGCAAAGCCAATGTGCCAGTGGAAAATGCCAAATGAACGTTGTCCGAGGATGCCACAGCAACGGAATGAAGTTGGCCAGGTCGATCTTTGCTTGCATGCTCCCATCTGCCAACATGTTCAACTTGTCCCAATCAAGATTCGATAGTGTAGTAGCTGGAGCAAAAGGTGTAACCATGTACCATCTTAGATCATCTTAGCAATCGCGTACAAATCACACAAGCCCCTGCATAAGACAAAAACTTGGCCACCCTCTTTCTTTCAGAACGTCAGAATCTTTCGTATCCCTCTTGAGGAGCTGACCCAAAGAGATGGTGGAAGCACCGACCCCAGCCCTGGAATGCAGTGGACATCCAAGGGAACACCAGTACGGATAATTAATACCCTCAACTCAAAAGCTGATGTTGCCCACAAGGCATCTCAGGGCGGAGCCAAGGTTGCGGAACGATAGCAGAGTGTGCACCGTAGGCAAAGTTTCCATACCTACACTGTCCAACATTTGCACCGGCCTCAGCAGCATGTGCGCATCAAAACCAGGTCAGTGAGGGAGGATTTAAGGCAGAACCGAAGCAATAACTACAAATAACCTCTGAATAAACCCTGCCAGCAGGAGTTGATGGTGGATTCACTTCAACAAATATCACATTTCAATCATTCCAATATGTGTACATATGTGTATATAACAAAAATATATATATATATAATATATATATATACAATGGCACCCTTATGATTGGCTGAAGCTCATTGTCCAAAAAATGTACTTCCAGGACTGAACTGCAGCAAGGATGACTTGCACATCAGGTAGAGGCTCACACCCGATCTACCGCATCGAAAACGATGCGCAATTTGGCTCCGGGTGCATTGAAGGTGTCTGGATCGATGATGATCTGCGCGAGAAAGACCGCACAGGTCAATGCACAAAATTGAGCTCGCGATTCCAGAAAACCCAATTGGGCACTTGTTACTAATAGCTTCTTGTTACTACTAGTAAGGCACCTGTTACTACTAGCGTGGCACTTGTTACTAATAGCTTGGGCCCAAGCCTCCACTTGTGAGATGGTCACCCCAGCATAGATACCAATTGCCGTTGGCTGACAGGTGGTAGGTTGGCACCTGAGCACTTAGCCCATGTCACAAATCCTGCCACTGGGACTGAGGAAGTGACAGTATAGGTGCTTCAATATCATTCTCGAAGGTAAAAGAAAACGATGTGCGAGTGTAGTCGAGCCTCAGAGAGCAAATGAGCCAAAGGTGTTCACCGTTGACACTCTCACAGTCGAACTTTGGGCTCTGATGAAAGGTTTTCACCAAGTGTGGAACTGGCCAGTAATGACCTGCAACATTGAAGTGACATAAGGTTCTCCAAAACCAACAATAGAATGGCTGTCCGCATGCTTGTCTAGTCTTCATGTTGGCAAGTCTCAAGCTGGCCTTTGGGTCATCCTGCAGTCTACGAACCTCAAACAGCAGGAAATGCAAAGCCACTACCAGAGGACTCTTGCCAGAGACTTGAACAGTACTGCAATTGCAAAAGAATACTCACTAGTGTCGCCAAAAATCTAGGAACCACATGAACAGTGCGAGCGCTTCTTCAAGGAAGCTCCCCCCGCCGCCTCTAAGAAGCGTGAGCTATCCTGTCCTGCATCCGAAGTAGTAGGTACTTAAACTACTAGCTACCTCTCCCTACTAGCTACCTACCTAGCTACTACCTACCTCTACTAGCGGCCTATCCCCCCTTTAGAAAGATAAATATAGATATTATATATATATATATAAATATATATCATATATCTTCTACTCTCAAGCTTCTGGTTCGAGTCTCTTCTAGTCTCTGCTTGTCTTTTTTCCCACCTCGCATACCATGCTTTGGCCCAAGATACCCTGTCAGAGTTCTGCTCAGCAGGCTCTGATGCGGACTGACAGCAGATGTCTAGCAAGTATGTAGGCGTCCCCTCACTGCGCCAAGAAGGGCTAGAAGGAAATTGAAAAGCCCCGCGATGCTGAATCGAAAAAGATTCGAAAGATTGCATCTTCGGAAGTCAGTGAACATTGTCGACTGCCGCAACTGCCAATGGGCTAGCATCGTAGCATATCCTCCTCTTGTTCATTTCACCCTCCTCTTCTTCTTCGGCGTGGGCTCGACCACCTTGTACGAAGCAAGACCACATGATAGTTGGTCTTCGAAGAATATGTTCAATATCAATATCACTTGTACCATGTGTATAATACCATAGGCAAAAGTTTTAAGGGACTTGGGATGGATAGTTGGTTGTAAACATGTTCCCGGACGTAGCATCCGGACGCCGAAGGGCTCAGGTTGTTTGCATTGTTGAATGTGAGGTATACTAGAAGCAATGTTTACTACTTTTACAAACGGTTATTATATGCAATGTGTGCTGGTGGGTGTGTCATGTGCATTCCAAAACTCTGCCCTGATCACATTCTCAGCGTCACAGCCTCGTCATCCTCTAATTCCTCTTCTTCACCACCTTCCACCCCCTCCTCAGCGGACAAGAATGTCATCCATTCACCTGAGCAAAGACAAATTCAGCCAGAAGAGCTTCCAATTCAATTCAAAACAAGGTCACTAGCAAAGACGGTGCCCATGTTGCACCCTATAGCTCCTGAATGATTTGATGTCGGTTCGATTCAAGAACATCTTGGAATGCTGGCAAGTCACCCACGGTCATGGGAATGGGCAGCCTTGGGAACGCTGGGAGGTATTCACAGCAATATCCTTATATAATTCATTTTCAACTCTTGAGGCATTCAACAGGTAAGGGAACTCCACGTTGCCTCTCCACTTCAGTAACAGACAGTCATCCTGCCGCCAACAATGGTGCAAGCAAGTTGCTGGTCTGTACTAAATCTTTTTCTGTTTTTCTCCTGAAGCGAGCGGGTCAACTACTGTGAACCAGACTCAAGCAAACACCGAAGCCGAGTCACAAAGTGGTCCGCCGCCCTTATCATGGCTTGCACCGCTCCAAGAGCACCAACCTGGCAGTAGTGACAAAAATAACATCCAAACTAGTGTGGCACTTGCGACTTGCGGTATTTTTGAAAGCTTTTGTGTCTATGCCATTCAGACCCAAGCACAAGTAAAGTCAGGTGAAAGCTGTGTGAAGTCTAAGCGTACATTGGTCAATAGATTCCCATTGCAACACCTTCTCCACGAGCTCTTCGAAGCTCGTAGGAAGGCCATCTTCTTCTCCCGAGACATCCACCGGGATGAGAAGCGAATCATCGTCCATGTCTTCTGGATACCTCACGAAGTAGTAATACTTGAGCCAATTGGGTGGCGTTTAGCGCTTCACAAGCTCCTCCAATCAATCCTAACATCGAGTCCAGGTGCATCAGACCTTTCACATCCTCTGTGGAAATATCCTTGGATGAGCAGCCTTCAGGTACTTAGATACTACAATACAACTCTTAACAGGTCACCGCAGACTCCAAACAGTTGAACTTAATTTGCAACGTTTGGAGTTGCATTCCACTCGCCGCTGCCCAGCATCAGATCCCTTGCTTTTTCCACTGAGCTTCTTTTTCAGCTCCTGAGAATAGAATCCGACACCTGAGCTGAATCATTAGCAAGGGCACCTTTTGGCAACTCTGGTCATAGCTTTGCGAGGAATCTAGTCATTGGTGGGTTGAGGTTGGGTTTTCCTGTGGCCAACCACAATATCAAGAGCGGTACCAAACAAAAAACGCATGATGCACATGACATACCGGCTGTCTCCTGCAACCGATCTTTGCTTACATAGACAATCCTGAGTTGGGGCTGGAACTCCTCCGAGTGGTAGAACAACTCTGTCATTCGAGAATTCCGAAAGCTTCACTTGTCAATCTTTGGAATGTAGACAGGGTGCTTTTCATAGGCCTTCCCTTCGGCCACAAAGCCTGAGTCTCAAAACAATGAAAGCGCTTGCGCTCTGTCTGGTACGATCCTCTTTTTCAGGCTTCCGCCACTGGCAGTGTTTGCCATGAGAATCAGGTGCCCACACTCTGATCCTAGGACAATGCCACCCTTGCCGGAGTGCTTGTAAGATCCTGTGCGTAACATGTTTGCAACAGCAATACCAAGTTCCAGGCACAGCATACACTAACCATCCCAATTTCCCAACTACTCAAAGCTTGAGCAACCAAATGCGTCGCAGTGATTGTGAGCAAAGCCCAGGTTTCGTCTCTTTCTTCAAAGGAAGTGGTTTCTTGAGCTCATGCATGTGCACAGTGGTGTCAGGTGCATCTTCCAAAACTGCAGAATGGAAAAACTTAGCTTGGCACCAGCAGCTGGAGATTAGAGCCTGGGCTGCTTGCTGGTGAAGCTTGCACTATTCCTCCGGATCTTCAAATTGTCCGTCGAGCCATCAAAATGCGAGCTCTCATTGCAGCCGAGCTACCGCTCGGGTTCTGTCTCCAAGGCGGAGTTGATGCCTGTGAAGCCAAGTGGACATATGCCAAAAATGTCTCCAGCCGCTATAGCCTTTATTTGGATACACAGAGTAGGCAAGGAACCATTGAAGAGTGCTTTTGTTCAGTGTATTTGTTTTGGAAGGCATTGCCAAACCGCAAAGGATGAGACGTTGAGCACAACCGTGAAGTTGCCAGAAACCTGTCCGGGACTATGAAATTTGAAATGGCTTTTCCGGACGATATTGACTAAGACTTAGTCTCATATACTTATATACTAGGGCGATGATCGAAAAGAATTCGTGTTGCTCCGCCGATAAAATGCACAAGTGCACCGTGGCAATGATAACGTAGCACGTGTTGTGTTCAGCTTCAAATTAGCATCTCAACAATGTCTCAGAAGCAAGGCTACATCAAAAAAGTCAAGCGGCCTGTATCAAGTGCAACCCTAAAACCACCAGGACGCCAAAGCATCTCCGCTGCAGCCATGTGCCTGAGTGTGGAGTCGCACATCTCAATTCAAAGATCCTTTAAGATGCATTGTTAGAGCAAATCTGTTGAGAGATATGTAAAAGGGTTTGGCCGCATGCACGCTGATAAGGTCTTGCTGAAGCAGCCCTGGCCTCTATGCGACACATGCATGGAAGCTGGCGTCGTTTGCCACCTCAAGCACACTTAGAGAAGATTGGGCTGGAGCTGCCATACATCCACACCCAGAACACCAAACACCACTCATGAAAAGCCATCTTGGCTGGCTCTGGAAACTGCCACACCTGCTGGTCAGAGGCAAGCCATGTGCTGAATTCCCACCATGCTATGTGTGTTGTCAACTTGCTTTGCCTGCGGATTAAGCGTAAGCTTAAAGCACGTCAAGAAATCCACCCCAAGAAGCTTGACACTTGACTAGATAATGAAGGGCACTTGCAGTTGCGAGTTGCGAGTTGATCCAAACTAACTCTTGAGCCATGGAAACAGTCTGCCCAGGCCAGCCTGCAATAACGAGAAGCGTGTATAGCCTCAAACAAACGTTTTAAGCACCTCCATCGATGTCCCATCCCGCCACAATCGAATGGAACCTCCGTTTTCGACAATCTACAACACAATCTTACAAGCATAATGGCACCCTTGAACGTTTGATGACAGTGATAAGAACTCAATGGAGAATTCTGCAGAGCAACATGAGCAGGCTTCAATATGATTTTGAAGCATGTCTCCTGGCTAGTATTTTCACCAAATGCGACATACTCATGAAGCAGCTCACTCTGGAATCTCATCCAAAAGAACTGTGACAGGGTATGAAGATTGGCAGGTCTGACAGGATTCATACCCATCATCAAAGTCAAAGTGGATCACCACACCTCTCATGCCTTCTGCACTTCTGATATCCTTGTTCACACTGACATCAGCAATAACCTCAACGCGATCTCCCGGGTAGAAGTCCTGGGGTGTCTCGACATATTCCTCATCGTAGACTTTTCGCCAACGTTTGCGTTCGCTTTCATGAAAAGCAGCAACATCTTCCTCTTTTCGCTCCACAACTAGAAGGTCTCTGATAGCAAAATAGCCTTTCACTGCATAAAGTCGGACTGTGTGAGAGCGACCAGGAACAGAGGTCGTATGAAGACAAGAACGGAAGCCAGTAAAGGCGAATTGGTCAACCCAAGCAAAACTCAAAGCAAACGCTAGCCATACATTTGACGACTTCTTCATGGCGCAAGCCGGCGGCAAATCTTTGTTTCTGCCCCTAGCATCTGCATTTTGCACCCTTCCGTTCACAAGAGCTGGTTTGCAACAGCACAACTTAAACCTTCCAAAATCTACAATACTATCCATGAAGGTCACTCGACCCAATTGGCAACCTCTCTCCAAAGTTCCGCAGTTTCTTTCCTGTGTTTGGGCCAAGGTTTGCAGAAAGTCAAGTGGTGTCCACTCGGACAGATTCTGTTCACTTGCGGGTAATTACCTCAAAACACACATTCTGGATAAATCCCACAGGGAACAATCCTTGAAAAAAAGGTCGAAAGCAGCTGCTCCCCAGCTACAGCATACGGCATACGCCTTTCCAGGTAGTTCTTGTACCACCAGCTTCGAGACAGCTACACTGCAGTCGCAACTGCCCACCACAGAAAACATTGCAAAAAAATAACGGCAAATCCACGGCGGTTCACTAGGAGACAGAAAAGTACGTTCGCTGTTTCAGCAATCAAAAAGTTCCGACACTGTCTCAAGCCTGTTTCCAAGCTGCCGCTGGTTTTGCACATCAATGCAAGAAAGATTTGGGATGCAAATTGGTGTCACATAAATGCCGTTTACAAATGTCCTCATGTTACTACACAAGTCAAACTCAAAGCTGTGTCTTGCAACGTTTGGAAAGAACAGCGCGTCAAAAAAGTACAAAGCTGATTCTATGCCCGGCAAACACGATAATCGAGGTGCAAAGAAACTGTGCAAAGCAATAACATACAGTAACAATTTCTATCACTATTGCAAACTATACAGTATATTGAAAGTCTTGAAAACATTTCAAGGTGCGAGCTATGACAAATATCCATAAAGCAAAGTACAATGTGTGTTTGCCTTGTCAACATGCAACAAAATGTTTCCGACCAACAGTTCATTTTCAAAACGATAAAAATAACAATAGGCATGGCGTTTTTGCGGCAGTGTGACAATTGCACCTTTTCACATTGAAAAGAAATGCAAGTGTTTACAACATTTGCACGGTTTAATCTTGACTAGTTTACGCTCTTGAAATCACAACAACACGGCGGTCGATTTTGCAAGAACAAAACTCTCCAGAGATGCGAAATGTCAAGTGGCAGAAGGAAAGGAATCCACGTGGCAAAAGGCTTGCACCAGGAAAAAATCGCAAAATATCGCGCAAAGCACTTCAATTTAAAGTATCGTAGCTGCACCAATGACTTTGCACAAAGGGTGCATTGACATATTTAAATATACCGACGGACTGAAAGTTAAGGTCTGTTTGGAAATTTGTACTGACTAATGTTGAGTCCACGCGTACACGAAGACGTTACATTCTATCTGAGGCCCTTGTAACAATGTGAAATGTCCTTTTCCATTAAACATAAAATGTGCTGTGGCATATGCTTCACCGCAGCCCTTCCACGCCCTGGAATGCCTGGCCCAGGGCAAAGAACTACGCGCTTTTGCAAAGAAAGTGAACAATCAGTGAATATGTCGGAACGATTTAATCTCTGTACATGTGTATTTGTATAGTGACGGACTAAAACTTAGAATGACGTACCTGTCGTCGAAACTCCCGCGAAAACACCCGAAGCGGGGGGAGGACTCCTGTTGTGGGTAAGATCAGCTGCAGAAAGGCTTTTTCGGGGCATCACACAGAATGTCGCGCCCCAAAAGTCATCGACGCACTGATCTCTTTTGGAATTGTCGATTTGTACGGGTAAAGGAAGAAAAGGCAAGAGGGCAAGAGGACAGGAAGAGGAAGGACAAAGGGAACAATGAAACAAATGGGATGTCTTGTTGTCCTTTCATGGTTTCTCCTTAACAATGAGACGAATGAGACAGAAAAGGAAAAAGGCAAACGGAAAGGAAATGAAGAGGGAAAGAAAAGGAAGAGGAAAGGCAAATGGATTTTCCTGTCATTAATGTTCATCCTTTTGTTGTTTTTTCGATTTTGGGGAAAGCGTCAGTTGAAGCCACTGAGTGCAGCTGGATCAGGCAGGAAATTACATTCACATTACATATGTCCAGTTGAAAAGGTTGCGTTCAACAAACCTTTGCCAACGCTGTTTTATTTGCAGCTTTAAGACACATCAAAGGCCCAAGTTCAAAAACCTGTGGACATGCAGGCTTCAGTGACAAGCCCCCCAACATACAACCGCCGTGAAAACTTCTCTTGTTTCCACATTGCAAATTGATTAGAGAGTGACATTCTAGCTTCCTGCCCGGAACAAAACACAAACATATTGACAGAACAACACCCTGCCCATCCACGCACAATAAGAAGTGGTTCAACCGGTATCATTCATAAATTGGCGATGTTTGCATGTTGGTACGGTTTTTGCGTGCGTTCTGAAGAAGTCACATTTTTGATGATCGCACTTAGAAGCCCGAACGTGTTTTTTGGCGTGCGACATGCTAGTGGGCCCTGAAAAGACAGCGTTTTTGGCTGTCGATCTGAGTGCGTAGACAATCTAATGCCGAACTGACGTCATTTCAAGTTTCAGTCCGTCGCTATACACATGCATGGGCATGCCATCCCCTGCACTCTGGGCGTGCGGTACATGGGGTCATGGTGGATCCACTGAACAAACCTCAGCCCAGTGGGCTTCTCCTCACTCTTCCGTGTGGAGGTTGTCCCCATGTGCCACTGTCCATTTTACAGCTTCAGAGCATGGGGTATTGGATGCCAATGAGAGGCTCATGTTCGAATTGGTGGCAATGTTCTGGCCGCGTGATAGCACATCAAGGCCATGCTGAGAGACCCTCCGGTGTGCTGAAGTCGACTGTTCCGAGGGCTTTGTGGGCTGCTTGCAACGCGGCACCTGCTGGCAGGGTACTGAGGCAGTGGCGTCAAGCCGGCCATAACTT